ATAAGACTCTGGGTACAAGATTGCCAGACCCCTTCCTTTCTTTTGGTCACGTGAATTGTTACAAACAAGTAAGCAGTACGAGTGCAACTGAGATTTCCAAACAAAATCATGATAAACAAAATGGCTAACAAGAAACGTATTTTGTAGCCACTATCACCCCCTCAACAGTGTATACAAATATACAGTGAGATTTAACGTTGATTAAAAATTGCGACGAATTTACGTTGATATTAATTTAGATAATGCATAATTCAAAACTGAGTGAGCACTTACTTTCCGGCAGGTCTTCAGAAACGTTTCAAGACATCTGCAAAATTGAGAGTGCTGTCGAACATCCTGCACACCGGATTGTTTCTAGATCCTGCAGCTATTAAGTACCACGTTAAGCTTAAAGAATCTATGTACGTAAAATGGGAGAAACCCAACCTCAACCAACAGATTAAACACGTAAACTTGACTCTATCCCTGAGTATAAGCGTCACTAATTCAAAACTTTTCAGTGCGCAATATTGCCAACGCAATGTAACGAATTTTGTAACATCGCGTGCGATTTAAATTCAACGGCGATTTCAAAATAAGGAACACCACAGGTGGCCCAAGCGTAATATGGGAGTTTGTGTTGGAGATAAAACTTAGCTGAAATAAATGAACTAAAAAGGATAAAAGTTATCAGTAAAGTGTAAATATTGTTACAAATCGCGCTAAAACTTTGTAAAAACAAAGACAACGACACCAGGTAACAATATTTGCACTTTATTAATAACTTTTATCGCTTTTAGTTCATTTTTTTTCATCTAAGTTTCATTTCCCATACAAACTCTTTATTTCCCATACAAACTCTCATATGACGCTTGGGCCACCTGTGCTAACACTGAAGATGATATCCTGGGACCAGGATCCGCATTGTGGGACAAGGAGAAAAAATCGGCGTTGGCAAAAAAAAATCGGCGAGCGAAGCGAGCCGAAAGGTATTCTGGGAAGGCGCCGCCCTTTCCCCTCCCCAGTATCTCGCTCGCCGATATTTTTCCTGTTTGACCCCGTTTTTTGCCTTTTTCTCCCACTGCGGAGCCTGGTCCCAGGCTATAGAGATGACGGTTATACCGTCGAAACATGTGTGGTAAATTAAAGAAAGCTGTTATGTTTATGCGGCTATGCATATAAAAGATTGTAGTGTTTAATTGTAACTCAACCTCGTTGCCACGGTTCTTTGCTATTCCACCCTGCGGACTGAGGGAGTAAGAGGGAGAAGTCTGTCTCTTGCTCTCTCGCTCCTTACCGGGAGAAGAAGGAAAAAATTCTGGGTTGCTTAAAACAAGTTCACAACCTTTGCTCGCTGGGAGATTAATTGCATAAATAGACGGCGACCGTCGAAAGAAACATAATAGATCATAATGGTGCCAGACGTTTAATAGCTTAGTGTCCATAGAAGTGAAAAAACTAACCGCCTCTGCTTTAAATCTTCATCGCATAGTTGTAGGTAGGGATGTGACAAATTCAAATTTGACGTACCTAAGTACATGAAATTTTCGCGACACGTTATTTCGCGATTTTGCGAAAATTTTATATTTTAAAGCACTTTAAATTCGCGTTTTTGCGACAACAATTTACATTTCATAGGCGATGGTATTTAACATGTCTTTGAATTAAATAAAACAACTTTATCAAAGGAACAATAACGTCAAACTTTTAGAAAAAAAACAACGGGACTGAAATGTCAGCAGTAACAACAAAGCAGTTCTCACAATGTCCACAAGTAGTTCATGCTTTTACGTGAATTATTGTTCTCAGAGTGAATTGACCACAACATCCATTTACACAAAAAATTCCTCAGGAAAGTAAAAAATGTGAGTAGGGTAAACGTTTCAGTGGTAATAAACTCGTTCTTTCTTGGTTATGGACATAAGGTGAGTCATTTAATTTTCGCGTCATGTCATGTTAGCTTACGTTCGCGACACTTATTGTTCGCGTCACTTTAATTTCGCTTTTTTTTTTTGTAGCGCGAAATTCGCGAAATTGACGTGTCGCGAAAATTTCATGTAATAAGGTAGTAGATTGTTGACCGCGCGAGTATGTAGGTAGCTTTAAGAATTTGTAACTCTGGTGGTCAATTCTAGTGGGTTAGACCATTTTTAATTGGTTACAGAACAACATTATTTTTCTTCAAATACTTCCTGATGTACGCTTGCTATCAAAACATAAAAAGCTGTCAAATACTGTTTGCCGACTTATCGCTTCCGATAAATGGAAACCTCCTAAGCTGTCTAGTCAGGCATCACTGTGGCACCGAGCTAAGTGCATAGATTAAGGTTAAAAGTGAGTAGCCTGCGGTTTTTACTACAGCTTTGGTAAGTAACATTTGTCAAAATACGCCCTGTTTTGACGGAATAAGTGCTCTATAATTTTCACAAAGTTGAATCTGGAAAGAGCCGTAGAGTTCAGTACAGGTAAGTTGTTCTTCCCTTCTTTCTTTCTTTTTTTTAATGAATATACTCTTTACTAAAGGAGAATAAGGCCTAAATCAGATGAAGCAGAACTACTCATGAGTTGAACCATCTCCTGTTAGACGAGGCTAAAACCGGAACTTTCACGGAAATTTCAATTCATCTGGAGTGTGCAAAAGTCTTCAGTTTGGTCTTAAAAGTCAAGGTTTATTGCATATCGTTGATGCTGTGTCAGGAAAGACCTAGGAACACAAAACCTTATGAAGAAAGCAAAGTACGCTTTTGGTCCGGAGGTGCATACTTGGCTTTATTACAGTTGTTTCAAGATTTATAGGATATCAGCAGTACAGACTTTGTACCCAGATAAAAGCATGGATAGTTAGTTCTGGTTTGGCTCAGAACTACACTAAAACAATTCGTTTACTGTATTATTGAATTCGCTTCTATTTTACAGAAAGTTTATTCCTTTTGTTTAATTTTGCATTTTAGGAGGGGAACTTTGACCCTGCATGATAACGATAACGAAGATAATGATGCGTCTTCATAGGTTTTCTTATTTTCCCCCTTTTGGTCAATTTCAATGAAGGAAGGAGGTAAAAAAGCACTGTGTTGATATGGATATGATATGTATTGATATACAATAACAATGATATAAAGTCTGTTTTCTTTTCAACAATATACTGATTCGCGTATCGGCGGTAGGCTAACTACTGTTTTCGTTTTTCAAGCATTTCAAAGACAAAAGAAACATAGTAAAAATAATTGATCATACCATTCACTAATATCTGTATTTCCTTAAATTTATCTGGTTATTATTGTGTTTTAATCGGTAACACCATGTATACAAATGGTAATACTTAATAAACTTGTTGTTGTTGTTGTTGATATGATATATATCTTGATCAGTGGACAACTAAGAAATGAGCAGTATGCTCAACACCTGATGTCTATAATATGTCGTGGTGTGAGACATTGCACGGTTTTTCCTAAAAATATTTTTTTCTTCGTGTTTTATGTTAGTAAAGTAATAATCAAAAAGTGGCGCCGGACCCAACTTGATACTTTGAGCTAACAGAGGGCGGAAACGTTTGTATTATTCCCGTGATAAATCAACTAATCTGTTTTAAAAAGCTAACAACAGAAATGAGGAATTTAAATTCAAAATCAATAAAGTAGCCAAGAAGAAATAGATTTTTTTTAAGGACAACTGAAGAGTAGAATGTTTTTTTCTTCAAGGAAATATGTTCTATTTAATGCTAACCAGCAGTCCACTTGTTCAACATAAAGATTGTTTTTCACCGGTCTCGAAGGTAAGATTTCCCTTCTTATAGGTTTTTTTAAAAAAAATTTTGCTGCATTTGTCAGTTTTTGCTGTCTCCGTTTCTAATAAATCATTACGTGCCTTCCTAAAAAAAATACTTTATTACAGTCCGACATCCGGTAGTTAGCAGAAATTGAACAAAATTCACGCGTCACTTTAGTATTTGTCGTTCGTTTGTACATTTCTATCGGACAAAAACATATTTTGTTTCAAACAATTTTGAGAGGTTTAGCTCTGATCTGGAACAGTGAATTGCGAAACAACGTCAACAGAAATGGGCAGTGGTTTTATTATATTCACGAATGGCACAGTGTTTTGGAGAAAATGTCGAAACAGAGGCTTGTTTTATTTTAGGCATTGACGTAAGCCTTGGATTATTCTTTCTTTATTTGTTCCTTCATTATTAATTATTTTCCTGCGTAGCATTAGTATTTCAGATAAAAAGCTATATTTCAAATGAAGTATAACCGTAAAAAATTTAAAAGCAGAGGAAGTCATTAAGCTTCGCCTTTTGCAGTACTTAGACAGTAGATATTAATATGAATCACTGCCGTGACAGCTTTTGTAGTGACACTGGATCGTCCAACTACTGACAGTATAATTTTAAATGTAGGAATGTTACCATTGTTGCTTTAGATTCTCTTTTCAGTATAGCAGGATTGCTCTGAGCTACCTTTGGTAAAGTGCAAGCAGTAGGAAATAGCTGAAATAAGTTATCTATACTCAATTTATGTCATAACTTTACTAACATAATGGCTTTGTACGTCTGTTCCCTCCCACAAGTATAGTAGTCATATTAGGGAGAGAGTCATTAAGACAAGAATAACAGAGCTGCAGCATAAATGCAAGCCAATTGGTTTGATCTTCAATCTAATTTGTGTGGCCGAACTTGACAATATTACCATGTTATGCTGAAAGAAAATTGTTCGAGTACACAAAGCAATGTGCATAAATTGTTAAAAGATCTTAGTCATTTTTGCGTTGACTACTTCCCTGATATTTTTTCAATCCGTTCTCAGTGAAAAGAACTGTCTTCAGCTGAAAGATCAGACGCCACAGGAGAGCATCAATTTTCAGTAATTCCAATTTTCAAAAGTTTACGAAATCTATTTCCTTTTATTTATCTGATGCAATTAATTCAACTAGACCTTGTTTCCTTGCAGTAAGAGACGGAAGTGGTTTCGAAGAACAAAATTCCATAGAAAACAAGCCCAGCCCTTCATCAGTTGGTGAACAGAATGTCCCTCCTTCCTCGACTGGAACTGACTGAACTACCTCACGAAATGAGCACAGATCAACCAAGAATAAACTCGTCAATCGACAACGACACAGAAAGAGAAACACGTCTAGATGAAGCTGAACGAAACTTCAAAATTATTTTTTACTGTTGCCTTTTCGTTTTTGGCTCGATAGGCAACTTTTTGGTGGTTGTGGTCGTGAAAGAAAAGCGTAAACGAACTATAAACGACTATTTCATTTTAAACTTGGCAATCGCAGATTTGACTTTCTTGTGGTTTTCAGTCCCATTTTATAGCTACGAACTTTTTCAGTCATTTACAAAAAACGTATTTTACTGCAAAGTTATCTGGCCGATAATGTCTGTTACTCTTTCTGCAAGCATTTTTACCTTAACTTCAATGGCGGTTGAACGATGTCGTGGAATTACAAATCCATTACGTCCACGAATCAAGCTCAAAGCCACCATAGCTTGGATTTTTCTTGTATGGATATGCGCTTTTGTCACTATACTTCCGCTAATGATCGTGGCAAGGCAAGAAAAAGATGCCTGTGTTGAGGATTGGCCGAAGAATTATTTCCGTCAAAGTTACACTGCAGCGTTATTTGGAATGCAGTATGTTATACCTTTACTGATAATTACCATAACCTACCTTAGAATTGCACTTTGCCTGTTAAGATCACGTTTACCAATGCGAACGTCGATAAACTCAAGCGGACAAGTTGTCAGACTCAAGACAAGAACTGAAAATGTACACATAATACAAACACTGGCAGTTATCGTAATTCTTTTTATGGCTTGTATGTTGCCTAATCAAATTGCATGGATGCTGTTCGACTTTGGCGGAGATTCCTTTAATCAACTTTCCCACGCTTTTTGGACCTGTGCGGAAGCACTTATTTACTTCCACGCATGCGTGAATCCAATCGTGTATGGAACTTTAACACGCCAGTTTCGCCGCGTATACATTCGGGTTTTTTTAAACATATTTTGCTGTAGTAAAAAGAGCTTCATGTTTATCGGCACTTCGGAGAACCTTTCAAGTGAAAGAAAATCCAGAAGAAAGGATGGTGCCTTCGTGATCGAAAGACGTGAAAAATCACACCTTGAAATTCGGTCCTCGCCAAATTTATCAACCAGTGCAGAAAGTAACTGCATAGGGAGTCCATCAGCAACTTCTTCTGCTAGACACTCAATGAGCAAAGAGGTACGTTTGACAACATCTGGCACACAGGACTGTATGGATACAAAGAAAAGTTTGAAAATGTCCTTTTCTAACAATGCATTAGATGAGTCGTCTGTTGAAGACGAACGTGTCCAAGAAACAAAACTGTAATTGCGCTATTAATGTGTTACCGCATCTGTGTTTTTTTAGATCGATAGAAAGTTAGAGAAACCTAGCTGTGTACTATCATCGCATATCCAAACGGTTTATATGTCAATCAAACTTCCAAAATCCATCTTTAATGAGTAGGCGTACATTACGAAGTGCTTCACAAAAGGATCCTCAAAAAAGAATTACAAATAATATTAACGAAATTTCTATGAATAAGGTAAATAGAAAAATTATTAACTGTCAATTAGAAATAACAAGTAAGAATGGGGAAAAATCAAGGATAATTTACTGGTAAATGTGCGCTGATACAAAGATAGAATTAGAAACCACATATTAACACTTGCCTATGGGCAAGACATCCTTAAATGCAGGTATGGTAGGCGTTTCTCTTTAGGTAATGTCTAAAACATTCCACGCATCTACAACAAACTTTAGAGTTTTCAGTGTCCTCTTCTTCTTAAGGCAAAAGATGTACGGATATGTCATGCTACATCTGCTATCACAATTTTAAAATTTGGTATTGAACAGACCTCGTGAATAGAAATAATTTTTATAGGCTTTTATAGGCTGTCAAGGCTTCTAGTGGAGCCAGAAGTGCCAAGTGTAGAAATTGTAGCGTAGTAGTGATTCCCCAGCCCCCCTCTCCCCCACCTCCCCCCATAATATCACTGTAGGCTATCCAAAAGGGGTGTATTAGAAGTTTTAGAAAACATAATCCTATTAGTTTATTGGTAGGTGGGACTTGATCAACTCCGAAAATCCTAGTTTCCTCTTTATTTTATGACGCATATAATGAGCGTGTCTTCAGTCCTATTTAGTCTAATTTAAGGTTCTTGTTAAAAACTGATGCCAAGTATGAACATTGACTCTGTGAAAGTGCTTAATTGCCTACCCTCAACGAAAATATTTGTAGTGTCAATTCAACTTAGCCTCGCATTGCCTCGTACTAATATACATTGTGCCTTCTTAATGTTAACAGTAAGTTGATTGACCATTGATTAGCCATTTGAATGCGGGTTCTAATTCCAGCATTTGTGGTTCTCGAAAGCACATAACTAATTGTTCAGTTACTTTAACTATGAGTAGATAAATTGAAAATCATGTTATTTCTCTCTTTTTCGGCGGCTGTTCTATTCGCTGCCTTTAAGTGTTTTCACTAAATAGAATGATATATTGTATGAAATCACGCAAAGAATTATTTCTATATTTTGTACTCACAATTTAAAGAGACATCAAATTTACCGCTAAACGAGAAAAGATCACTTAGCACAATTCTCTCTAACAGCTCTTAGCACTAGAGATCTCAAGAATACTACGCCAGTATTCAGTCACAAACACTTGATCTGGATCCATTTCATCGCGCAGCTTTAGCCAGTTATCCAGTTTAGGGTACACGCTCTTTAGATACGATAAGTTGAATTTTGTATTCCCACATTTCTGACCAGGTAGCGGAAGATACTTTCCCCAATGCAGACGGGTCCCAGGGATATCCAGTAAAGCATCCCAGAAGTACGAGAAAAACTCTCTTTTGTCACCTTTATTGTAAACCCACCAGTAAGCATCAATTCGCACCATTTTCTGGTTGTATGACATGCTCAGCCAAAACGGGGACTCTTTGGCACCGTAGATTTCGATGGCAAAGTTTCCAGCGGCTTTCTGGTTCTCAAAGAGCTTGAGTAGTTTGTCCATGACGGTTTTGCATTGGCCAAGTGGGATCCAAATTTCTGTGAAATCAACTTTGATAATGGAGTCTGTGTGGGCCTGGTTATCCATGGGCAGACTCTCAAACCATATGTCACAAAACCGTTTTGGCTCCCCTAGCGGCACAAACTGGCGGAGTATGGTGCCGATAATGGCGTAATCCCATTCGCTTGGATGTTCCTTTTGTAAGAGACAGTTGCAGACCTTCAGAGCAACGGCAGCCATACCAGCAGTCAGGGTGCAGGACAAGATGGACTTGTACGGAACAATGTCTCCTTTAGAGATCTGTTTTCCAACCCACTCCTGAACACGCCGTACGTCCTTCTGTGGGAACCAATTAACTCGAAAGTATTCATTGTTCTCCAAACTTTCCTTAAGTTTAGTCTCTCCTTTGTCGTTGGGCCCTAGCGCGGAGTCCGCAAACTTCTTATTTGACTCCGAACCTTTAACGAGCCTCATCTCAGGGAGACGAAATGTTACGTGGGTTATGACGCCAAACAGCCCCATCGAAACGCCCACGGCAGACCAGAGGTCCGTCCCAGGCTTTGCAATCTGGAGATGACCGTTGCCGTCAACAAACTCAATCTCCTGGATTACCTCATGAAAGCTGTGCCACAAACTTCCCCCTGCAGAACCCGTCATGATGAATCCACCAACTGTTTGATGTGTGATACCTGCCAGCTCCGGAAAGCCAAACCCTTGGACGGCTACCTGATAACACGCAGAGTTTTGCAGGTCCGAATCAGGATCCATGGGATTTCTGCCTAGGTAACACCCCGCACCTATGCGACAGTAAAGCCAGTTTTCTTCACCTTCCAATTGAACTTCCTGTATTTCTACTTTGCGTAGGTCGCCCGTTAAACGGAGAGTAATGCCATCCTTTGGGAATACAGACGCGTGTACAGAATGTGCTGAGCCAGTAACGCGAATGATGTTCTTTTCTCTTTTTGCTTTTAGGATGGCTTCTGTGACTTCAGCTACGGACGCCACCCCTGAAATTAGGGCACCAGGATCGGCTCCTGAGGTATTTACTTCTTCCAAAGGTGGTTGTTTCACATTCACGTGTGACTCATCATGAATGTCGTGTACAAAAAGAGACTCCAAGATGTCATCTTCTAGAGTGTTCCCAAACAAAGGGGAGATAATCCTAAAGAATCGTTTTGAATCTTCATTTCCTTCTGTCTGTAAAGCTAACGAAAGTTTATATAGTGAAAAATGTATGCCCGACAAATAAATAATAGGGTACATCAGAGTTGATCAAAACGGTAAAAAAAATATCGCTTACAAGTCGGGCTTGTACCTCGACTGAAACAACCAAGCTGCTGGTAATTGCATGTTGAGACGCCCATATAGTTACTCACATTAGAAACATTCAATCTCACCTGACTTGGAAGTCATCGTTTGAAGGCATGTTGCTTGACAATCTGCATTGATACAAAGGTCTCTGTTAGAATCTGAACAGCATTGATGAAGCCAAAGTATGTTTTGATATCGCTGATGCAAAGTTACGTCAAGCATATGAAATTCAGGACTTAAAGAATGCTGACATGGCTAACCGAGAAAAATGTTGCAATAGCTTATTTGACGGACCGAAAAAAACTACATCATTTTTCCTTTATTTCGTATACATGAAAGATTTATTTAGTGATATGGCAACTTCATGCACAGTCATACGGCCTCAGAGACTATATTTTTTTAAAAAACGAAGTGTTCACAAAATGGCTTCAGTCTTTTCTTTTACTTCAAATGTGAGTTTGACTGAACTGACGATGGATACTGAACACTGTTGTAACCTTCAGAGAATCAAGGACGTTAAACCTTTTCTGACTTTGCTACTCAAAACCTATAGCGGTCGCTAGGGGGTCTTAGGACGAAACAAGCAAGACTGAAATGAAGCGGAATTTAAATGACTTTTGAGCAATTTTATCCACACACGATCTTTAATACTGTATGATCGAGTGTCTTCCGAGAATGAGGAGTGTTTTGCCGCCGAAAATATATCGTGTACGGCCTCTGTGACATTATCTAAACCGACCAGAAGTCGCAGTTTCGGTTTCTATGGTGGAAATTAAGGAAAGGGACCCCAACAATGGTGAGATCAGATGAACTGGCAGCGATGACTCAGCGATGACAGTAAGCAAAAATTAATCCATTAGATTTTCCTGGGAACATGCCAACTGCAAAAGCAGCGCCGCTTTAAACATCTCTGAGAGAAAAGACTGAGCTTTCCTATTATTAATGATGATCAGAACTTTTCACCACGCCAGTGTAGCCGTATTGACCTTTACCTATGATTTACACGTAAGTCGAAATATATTTAGGCGGTCTCGTGAACAGGGGCACCCAACGAGAATATAGTTCAGAACCACTTAAACATAACATTGTTAAACGCATTTTAGTATTTAAACGGTACATATAGGAATTTTTTAATCCCCTAAGAATTTTTCATCTGTTCGGATTACCTAGCTGAAAGTCTAGTGATCCGAAAAATATAGGGATCAAAACTTACCTTTTCGAAAATTTCAGCCAGAAAAAAGGCTCCCGAAAATTCTAGGTGACCTTTTTAGGGTAAAAATCCGTTAAAAATGGGCAGTTAAACCATTTTTGAGATGTTCGAAAATCCTAGGAGAGGCAGGCAAGCAAGAAATTTTACAACAAATGTTCCGAAAATTCTAGATCTCAAATCGTTTTCCGAAAATTGACATTGGGTGCCCCTGCGTAAAGATCTCAGAGGCAGCAACTAATTATTGGCAGCTGTGAACGTACCTGATCTTGACGCCATACTATAGATCGATATCCTCTGCTTGGATGGATCGATTCTAGGCTAGTGAACACCGTCAACTTACTTGCGTTAAGGTACAACTTCAGTGAGGGTAACAACAAAGTGACCTCTCTTTCCTAGAATGGCTCTACGCTTGATTGCTTAAACTCTTTCATTATTCTGATTGGCTCACTTACTCACGAAAAATAGTCTTTCCATTATTATTTCAAGCAATAGCTATAGAATTCTGGCAGATGTGTGTTAAAACGATTAGCATAAAGTGCAGTTACTGTTGTCAGCATGCCAAATAAGGCATTATAAAGTGCAAAACATCATGATGCATAAATATAAAGAAAGCATGAAGGTAAATAGGATATAATTGCACGATGACGTCATTTTAGTATAACTACCAGAATCCTTCGGTTTGTTGGTTTCTTGTGAAAGCTAGAGCGGTTGTTTATTAAACCTCAGCGAGATTTACAAATTTAAATAAGAAAGTAAAAACGAAATGAATTCTGGAAATTGTAGTCCAATGTCATCGTGAAAATGGCGTATTGACGACAAGAAGGTAAAGGGACTGCATTAACGAATTCCGTGTAGTATTAGAACGTAAGTGCTACTTCTATATTGGTATCCTTGTTATTTAAAATAATAAGGAGCCTAACTATGTATTGTTTAAAATCGCTCCGAAGTTGTCTTGACTTCATCAGTTTCAAGAGTGAAAAAAACGTTTTGGTGTCAATCTAAAATACACTTAAAAGTATTTCACATCATTATGTTTCAATGAAAATATCTAAAATAGCAGGAATAATAGCAAAAGCAAGACATTATTTAGACCTTAAAAATTTAATGGAACTATACAATACCACATGGTTCATCCAAACCTGACCTACTGTAACATCAAAGCCTGGTTTCCACATGATCGCTACGATGGCTGTGATCGCTCCGTTCGCTGAGGAAAAAAACGAGTCAGGGATTGCAGCGATCACGTGGAAACCACTTTCCAGCGATCGTAGCGATCGTAGCGATCGCAGCGACAACGATCGCTGAGGTAGAAAAAGTTCTATCTCAGCGATCGTTGTCGCTGCGATCGCTACGATCGCTGGAATGTGGTTTGCATGTGATCGCTGCAATCGCTGACCTTTTTTTCTCAGAGATCGCAGCGATCATATGGAAACCAAGCTTAAATGGGCGAGCAAATATCCAAATAGACTAAGATCTGTTTATACAGCACAAACGAAAATAGTAACATTGATGCGTCGAAAATTGATGCGCGTGAGAAAACCTCTTTCGAGTTCTCGGAATGGAGCTTAAATACCAACTCGTTTCGCGCTAGATTGTCAATTATCTATCGTCCACCCTACTCTAATCTGCATCCGGTGTCTCTGAAAACGTTTTTTGATGACTTTGCTTCATACATGGAGAGTATTATTCTAACACCAGAACCGCTTATCATTACGGGTGACTTAAATATCCATGTTAATAATACGAACGATTCTGATGCTTGTGAATTTTTGGATTTGCTGGCGTCACTAGGCCTAAAACAACATGTCGTTGGTCCTACCCACGAGGGTGGCCACACCCTGGCCTTGGTGATCACCAGGCAATATGATCAGGTTATTAAGTCTGCCCCGATGATTGATCGGTTTATCTCTGACCATGCCGCAGTACTGTGTAAAAAAAAATAAAATAAAAATAAATTGACATGGATGCATTCAGAACTGATTTAACGACGTCTGAATTGTGTACCAATGTTTTTACGGATTTGGATATGATGGTCTCCTGATACAACTCCAAACTGTCGTCGTTACTTGATAAATATACCCCTCTTAGAACTAAGTCTGTTGCTAATAGGAAGCGTGTGCCTTGGTTTAACCACAAAATTAATGATGCTATTAAGGCTAGGCGGAGAGCTGAGAGTAAATGGCGCTATTCTAAATCTGCACAGGATCTAAGTGTTTTCACAAAGAAGAAAAACCATGCAATATACTTGATGAACCAAGCTCGCTGTGATTATTACACCAATCATATCCAGCAAAACAGTTCTGCTCAGAGAAAACTGTTTAATGTTACAAAGTCCCTGTTGTGTGACACCAACACTGCATCGTTCCCCCGTGTTGACACTGTTCATCTTGCCAATGATTTTGGAAATTTCTTTGCACAGAAGATTGAGAATATAAACGCGTCTTTGGCTTGTGTTACCATCTCTCAAGAAGCCTGGTTTGGACTCTGCATTCAAAAATTTCCGTCCAGTCAGAAACCTCTCTTATATTTCTAAATTGTCGGAGAGGGCTGGGGCTGAGCAGTTCCTGGAGCATCTGACTGCCAACAATTTAGATTCTCAGCTTCAAACGGCGTATAAACAGCAACACAGCAAGGAGACGGCATTACTTAAAGTTAAGAATGATATTTTGATGTCTATAGATGAGCAACATGTCACCTTGCTCGTATTATTAGATTTAAGTGCAGCTTTTGACACGATACATCATGATACGGTGATTGGTCGTCTTGAGTCTGATTTGGGAATAACTGAAAATGCGCTTGCCTGGTTTAAATCGTATCTATCTGACCGGGTTCCAGCGTGTCTCTGTAAATGGTACTCTCTCAGATCAGTTTCCCTTAAAACAAGGTGTTCCTTAAGGATCATGTTTGGGCCCCTTGCTTTTCACTATCTACACGCGCAAACTGTTTCAGATCGTTGAACGCCACCTCCCACAAGTTCACTGCTACGCGGACGATACACAGTTGTATGTATCATTCAGCCCCAATCGATCTGCGAATGCTGATTTAGCCGTCAAGTCCATGACTGACTGTATCAGTGACATTAGGAGTTGGATGCTTTTAGATAATCTTATGTTAAACGATGATGAAACAGAATTTTTAATTATAGGTACTAGGCAGCAGCTGGCCAAGGTTAACATCAATTGCATTAGGGTTGGGTCGACTGATGTTTGTCCTGTAACAGTAGCTACAAACCTAGGCTCATGGTTTGATGAGCAGCTCACTATGTTAACTCATATTAGCAAGTTATGTGGTGTTGCCTTTTACCATTTGCATAATATCAAACGCATTCGCAAGTATTTGTCTCGAGAATCAACGGAAATGCTTGTCCATGCATTTATTACATCTCGTGTTGATTATTGTAACAGTCTTTTGTATGGGCTGCCCAACTACCAGCTTATCAAATAGCAGAGAGTTTTAAATGCCTCAGCCAGGCTAGAATGTAATGCCCCTAGGTTTTGCCACATTTCACCCCTTCTTCGTGGTCTGCATTGGCTTCCTGTTAAAGCCCGGATAGAATTTAAGATACTGCTTATTACGTTCAAAGCAATTCACGGCCTTGCTCCTAAATATCTATGCGATTTACTAACATTTAAATCGTCCTTATATAACCTTAGATCTTCAGATAGTATTTTACTTTCTATGCCAGCTGTTCGATCGAAGACGTTAGCTGATAGTGCTTTTACGGTAGCAGCGCCAAGGCTCTGGAACTCTCTTCCAAAAGAACTTCGTGCGATTACTAATGTGAACAGTTTTAAGGCGCATATTAAGACTTATCTTTTTAAAACTTTATATTGGTGAGCAATTTTATATTCAGTTCTTACTTGCATGCATATATATTCTTTTTATTTTTTATTTTTTAATGCATTATCTTTTATTTGTTTCTTTTAAAGTAATGCAGTTGTAATGCGCAGCTGATCATTCTCATGTTAAGCTGCGCACAATAAGTTCATAAATTATTATTATAAATTATTATTATAGTAACACTTATGACATTTTCAAGTTTTCGCGAAACGTCTAAAGCCTTTGTTCAAGTCATTAAAAATAATAAATACCTATGAAATAATTATATACCTAATTGCAAACTTCCTGTACTAAAGGAAGTACTTTATTATTATTATTATTATTATTATTATTATTGCCCCCGCAGGGATTTCGCCCAGAAGGCGAAATCCCGAGGAGGCACTCTAGTAACTCGCGCGTATATTAAAGAAAGTACTAACAGTTGAAATATACAGCCGTACAGTCAATATATAAAAAATCTCGATTTGCTTGAACAAGGGCCGCGAGGAATCGGTGGGTAATGATGACGTTTCTATTGTTTGCGCCCGCAAGTACGAAATGGTTAGGATGACGTAAAACACAAAAAATCCCGAAGGAACAACTTACAATAGGTAGATTTTGTGGCATTAATTGTGCAGTCATACTTCGATACTCTTTTGCGTTACGACGGTGTTATCAGTGACATTTTGTGGAGCAGTTGTTATGAAAGTTATGGACCAAAAGACACTCGTTAAGCGCAGATGAAGTGATAAGGTGCGTAGAACAGTTGATATTTTAACACTAAGTGAGTTTGCCAGACACGAGTTCACAAATCTTTGATTGGAAACTTTGCCAGGCACTCTTTCTCTTTCTTTGACCGGAATAAGACACGGCCCAAAACAAGCAAGACGAGTGAATGATTCAAAGCGCTAGCTTATCACTAGCAGAACGATGGACGATTACGGAAATTCGCCGACAATCAAATTCTGTGCTGACTTATTCCCTGCTTTGCCTAGTCCCTGTACGGCGTGTTTGCAGGCCCTTTCGGTCAATGCATTTCGGCGGACGTATCCGAGGCGAACGGCCGGGAGACGCCTAGACAATTGTAGGGGGTTTACGAGCAACTCGCTCGCTGAGCATAGAGGTACCAGGTATCTGAGTTTACATCTTGTTGTTCTTTAATCTTTACAGCAGCTCATATGTAACTAACCTCAACCACTCTCAACTAATTCTACTAGCTAACACAGCGAATTAAATAACGAAATTGTGGACGTGTTTGGGTTAGCGGACCATGAGACCCTTCCAATGCATATCCTGTCGCTGAACTTGTGAACGATAGAATAGTCTACACTGTCCCAATTAACAAGTACTAAAGAGCCAATTGAATGCTAGCGGTAAAACTGCTCGCTAGGACCAAGCATACAAAACAGGAACTTCAGTGGAGGCAAAACTCAAGGTCAGCTATAATCCCCGAACATGCTTACTTCAAAGAACTACAATAAGTTTAACAAATCCTTTCGATAGACGATACTTCTCAAAACTCAGGAACTAACAGTGTGGCCTATATGAATTTCCTTGGACTATGAACTGTTTATTAAGAAACTAGCACGTGCTACAAAATAATCATTCGGATAGAAAGACCTTAAAAATACCAAAACTCCAAAACAGAACTAACAGCAACTACTTCATAACACAATCTCGGAGTGCGCATGCATGAGCATTTTTGCCTTTTTGAAAAGTTCACTCGTTCAACTGAAATAATCTATAAATAACTTTGCGCGTGAATATCCTTCGCTTAAAGATCGGCACTATTGACACTATTACAAAAATAACTAACCTGGTTTCTGTTATTAAAGAACAAAAATATTACTTTGAATCGGAAAGAATACTACTGTATAATGTGCAAGTAATTTCTCTTTTAGTTCATTTTCAAATGAACCATTAAAATGATATTTCTTTATTGATAAAAAGACTTGAAACAGTAGTTTGTTGACATTCTACCAAATTTAGAGACCAAATTCAACAGCCTGTCCGATTAGTTTGATAAGCTTCCAAATCCAAAAATTAAATTACATAAAATATTTCAAAGTGAAATGATAATGAGAAATTTATAGGAGCAAGCGAAAATAGAGAAACGAAAGATAGCTTTTCATATCCAAGAATAAATATAAACTTATTTCTTTAGCTTACCTTCCGATTCTTGATCAAATAATTTTTTTGCGACGCTGTTTTGCCTAGCCTACAATAGTTTTTGAGATGAAATAAAGTTCAAATTAGTTTAATGAGATAAATGAAAAGAAAGGCCAAAGGACTTTCAACAATGAAAACGTGCATAGAACAAAAATGCTCGGTTTACCTCTTTATCCTCTGCCATGGCTGCTGGACATCTTTCATCAGCGCGGAAAAGTTATTGACAGTTCGCCCGCTTCCAAAAGCTCCGCCCTAAGTGAGACAAAATGTCTCACTTCTCCGAGTTTGTCTAGGCCTCAACTTACTCGGACCATGTGACCCAAACGCATCGGCCGCGCATAATAATGAGGCCTAGGGACTAAAGAACGATAGTAAAAGTAAGACTAGGAATGCGCGAGCCTGAATTGATCAAACGTCCTTTTAATTTCTAAGGCTTACTTTCCGCCAAATAAAATGAACTAAATGTAAAAAGTGAAATACAATTAGCGAAAAATTAAACTTCTGATTAAATCTTTTCTCATGGTTTAGAATAAACTATTCTCGAAACTGAGAATGTTTTGATCAAAGCTGTGCAAATCGAACCGAAACTGTGCATGGAACCTTGCGTTTATTTCCTGTATTTATCTCACCTATTGTATTGACTATGTGTGAACATCTTCATTATGAATCGGCATATTTCAAACAGCTACACAACGAGCAAGAATACTATTAACCGACAATATACAGAGCGGGGGCAGCTGCAGGGTCAACTATTACTAGTTACTATTATTATAACTATAACAGGGTCAACTATTACTAGTTAATATTATTATAATAAACGATAGTATTATTACCCTCGCAAGGGATTTCGCCCAGAAGGCGAAATCCTGAGGAGGTACTTAAGGAAAGTACTTACGGTTAAAATATACAGTCAGTATGCCAGAAAAAATCTCGATTTGCTTGAACGGGGGCCGTGATAGCCTCCCACACAGGCGTTTTAGGGGAGCTCGTCTTTCATCCCTCCCCACTGAAAAGTGAGCTCTCGTAAAAACGCCTGCGTGGGAGGCTAGGGCCGTGAGGATTCGGTGGGTAATGATGACGTTTTCTATTGTTCGCGCCCGCAAGGGATGACGTAAAACAGAAAATCCCGAAGGGACCGCTTAGGCAGATTTTGAGACAATTATTATTCAGGCATACTTCGATACTCTTTAGCGTTATGTTTTACCTGTGGCATTCTGTAGAGCGGCTGTTTTGAAAGTTTTGCACTAAAAGACACTCGTTAAGAGCAGATGAAGTTATAAGGTGCGTGTAACTGTGTATATATAGATCTATATAAACACTTGGAGAGTTTGCCAGACATGAATTAGCCTGCGAGCAAGCGAAGCGTTTTCGCGAGACTCGCTTCACTCGCCCAAACAGGAGAGCTTGCTCGCAGGCTAGACACGAATTTAAACTTGAATCTTTTAATTGCCAGACATTCTTTGTCTCTCTTTGGGGGAAAAAGAATCAACGGCTAGCTTATCACTAGCAGAACGATAGACGATTACAGAAATTCGCGGACAATGAAATTCTGTACTGACTTATTCCCTACTCACAGAGGTCCTTCTATAAAGTTTAAGCAAAGATCGACTAGAACGCGCGAGCGTGAATTCATCAAACCTTCGAATTTCTAAGACTTACTTTCCGGCAAATAAAATGAACTGTTTGTAAACACTGCGTAAATAGTGACAAAGAATTCCAACTTCTAATTAAATCTTTTCTTATGACCTTATGAGAATAAACTATTCTCGAAACTGAGAATTTTTTTGATCAAAGCTGTGAAAATCGAACTGAAACAGCGCAAGGAACCTTGCGTTTCCTCTCTTCCTCTCACCTATTGTTTAGAATAATGTGTGAAAATCTTCATTATGAATCGGTATATTTCAAAGAGCTACACAACGACCAAGAATACTATTGACCGACAATATACAGAGCGGGGGCAGCTGTAGTGTCAACCATTACTAGTTATGCTCTTATAATACAAGATCAGCTTCAATGATTTAAAAGAACAAATTATGGAAAACTTCTCTTCACTGAGTATAGGGGAGCAATCATGGAATAGTTTACCAAATGATCTAAAGGAACTAAAATCATGCAACGCGTTTACGAAAACATTGCATATATAAGCACTCATTTTGCTACCTTTTGTCAACTATGTAAAGAAATCATTCGGGAACCTTAGAAAAGCTCATCAGAGCTTGCTGTGTTTCCGTTTGCGTTAGCTCAGGATATATCATTGTAATAACAAGATGATGTATGATGTGTGATAGGTTGGATAAAACATGAAGGATAAAATAGTATCAACAGATAACTTACTCACAACTACAGTTTAATTGTAATTTGTTTACCCAGGCACGAAACACTTACTGACGAATTCTTCTGAACTCGCTTAAAGGTGTCGGTGCATTCCAGATCGAATTGAAATTTAACAGTGTTGGATTTAGATGAGAGGGGAAAACAAGAGTACCCGAAGAAAAACTTCTCGGGGCGAGAAGGAGAACCAGTAACGGTCAATGACAAACTCAACCTCCATATGGCGCGGACGCCGAGATTTGACCACCTTCCACGATGGCGGGAGAAGAGTGTTGTCACCAATGCTCCACCCTTGCTCCCTTCCCCTGTTTCGTGGGTAAACAAATTACAATTACAATGTATATATATCCTACATGTGGCTTTAATATTCCAGTACATTAAAGACGGGCCTTAGTTTCAGGTTAAGTAGAGAGCTGATAAAAAAAACATATAAAAAAGATTTCAAATCCTTTGAGTGAAATTGTTGTACCAGATTAAATGAAAGTTGCTGGATTACGCTACCTTAAAATCCGATGATAACCTTTCTCACTAATGAAAACCAGTCAATCAAAAAAAGTGCTCTCCCAAGGAGACCTGCACTTAAACAATAAGTTGCACACAATAGTTTATAATACTTAAACCTACATCATTACAATCATAAAAATTATCTAATTTTAACACTAAAGCATGAGAAATTAATTAAACTAGTAGTCCACCTAGCCTCCACTAATTAATTGAATTAAGAAAATTATTTAAACTAGTGACCTGTTAAGCCTCGACCGACAAACTATTCCATAGGACAGCACCCCTATACCAGAAACTCTTCTTAAATGCCTCAGTGTATGGTCTTGGAATGAAGAGATTGTGTTGCGAACCCCGCATATTATGTCCGTGAATGGAATTGGTGTATAGGCAAATTTCTCTGATATATGTTCGGGTACTTGCCTGTTCACTGTTTTGAACATTAACGTATTTAATTGGTTTGTTGGTCTATGAGCGAGGCTCTTCCAATTGAGGGATCACGAAGAACCTGTGGTGATCTGACATCTTAGCCGGTTTCAGTCATCATACGAGCCGCGGCCCTGTTTTTTAATTTCTCAAGTCTTTGACCAGCGACACCATTTCCCCAGTCATCACTACAATAATCGCGATGAGGCAGAATCAATGGTTTGTAAATTGAGACAAGAATCTCCTGGGGACAAATTGTTTTCAGTCTCCTCAGGGCAGCAAGTACTTTTGCGACTTTACCACTGATCTCTGAAATGTGAGTACCCTAAGAAAGTGTTTAATCATTCCACCCCCTAGGTAGTTGTAGCTACTAACTCTTTCTATTGAGTGACTATCAAGACAAATATCTGGTTCACTAGGGAGTAGCGATATTTTGTGTTGGGTCCCCGTGAACACACGCTTAGTCTTGAGAACATTAAGACTTAGGCAATTTGACTCGAACCATTGTTTTAGATCATTGTTTCAGGTCATGAGTGAGGGATGAAAGCAAATCATCAGAGTTTTAGAAGAATTCGTGCGATTAGACAATGTATAAAGCTAATACAAGAATTAACATTGTTTATCACTGTAATCTGAGTTCTGTCAAGTAGATAGTGTCTAGAAAGTTTTAGACTGGCAACCCATAAGGCCGTACAGCTCAAATTTTGACAAGAGAATCTTGTGATCGATAGTATCAAATGCCTTTTTAGATCAATAGACCGTTTTTTACGATTTGGGAAATTTAAGGGACCTTCATTATTAAATATTACTGGCAACAGTTTTATTACCAACTCCCTGCCATCTGACTTAAACTGTTAGCTGGAGCAATAAAGATAAAGACTTTTCCAAGTAGTTATGGTTAATTGGCTTCCATCCGGTTAGGATGATAAACTTGTATCATCTGACGGTATTTTGTTTTCATCAGGAGGCAGCGTGGATGAGCGATTAGAGCGCTGGACTCATAACTTGGAGGCCCCAAGTTCAAGTCCTGCTCTGACCGCTAGCTGGATTTGTTCACGGTAGTCCCGAGTTCAAATCCTCGACCACGCTTGTAAATAGCCAGCTGGTTTGCCTCCGGCCAGTTGGGATTCTTGTCCCTTGCTCCGCCCCACTAGCACAAGTGCTATAAATACTGCCCAGGGTAAATAAGGAATTCCTATATTATTATTACTATTTATTATTATTATTATTATTGTCGGAATGGACATCGCGGTCTCTAGAAACACTTTGCCTGCATCACATGGCCCTGAATTGAAGTTGGACGCCAGCCTTGCCGCAGGGTTGTAAGGTAGGACACACTCATATTACTGCCTGTTAAAAATTCTTGACTTACAAAGACTAAATAAAAAACAACAGGCGCAGTCAGCTCAGACAAATCTGGCCAGTTTAGACTTCGTTAGAGCCTCCACCCAAAGAATGCGCGAAAGCTGTCTTCTTCGTGGTCGACGCATATTTCTCATACCCAGGTAGTGTGTAACAACTAAGGCTGCGATTCCCGCCAAAACGATTCCCAGCATTAACCAACCACCAATCTGTCGAACAATCGAAATAATTGTCACCGTCTTAAGGTTTCAATAAAAGTGTAAAGAAATCCCGGGTTTGTATCTGTCTCACAAACAGGTGACGGAAAGTAATTATTAAATTTAATATGCGATAAATGAACAATGTCCTCTACCATGAAAACGTCCCTCCTTACATTAAGAAACAAAGCGCCAAAAACTCATCTTCCATCACGGTTGATACTAAAAATTTTCATTCGACAGCGAAAAATAAGCATTTTTACAATTTATTATTATTCTCTATTTTTTGATAAAGATACAGCAACATGTCATTTCTGTGTTTCCTTATTTTCTTTTGTATTGTTTATTCATTCTCCCTCGGTTTAGTACTTTTAAGAAATTTGTAAATGGTAAATGAGCATAAACATGTGATCGGAAATGCAAAAGAACTGCCTTTACCATAAATATTTGAAATGAAAGAACTTAAACCCACATGGAGTTGTAGTTTACATTGAAGTAAATTTGTAGTATATGTTTATCCAGTATATAATCAATTTGAAGTAAAACGCGATCTTGGAACCTTAAAAAATCAATGACTGTTCAGGGTTGAATTTTCTTCCTGATTTATCATCGACAATCTGCGAAAGTGAATAAATTATGTATCTTCATTTTATTACCATTTCTCTAACCAGTCGCCATGTTTTAGGCAATTAATTGTACTTATTTTATACTCCAATCATTTGCCATTTCCATGTAAAAACTGGATTGGAGAGAGTTGAAAAAACTGAAATGTCGTTATGTTTTTAAGATGGCACGTCTTGACTGAATAATTATTAAATTCAACAACGATGTTTTCGTTCCTACCTTAAGATAAAATGATGAATATGTATCAACAAATCTTGGACAGCCGGTAGCCTTTTGCTGACCATTTGAGCAGCCAAAGTTGTTCCCCGGCCTGGTCTTTGTTTGGTTTCCAATCTTTAAGGAGTTCGGCGTTTCTTTAGACGGAAACACTGTTGTTGTGCTTGTAGATACTTTCAAAAACTCCCGTGAACGACAATCCTGCTTTCTTTGGTCAACATTGCTGGTGTTTCTACTGAATTTCTTCGGTAGTATCTCCGTGTATTTCGTTGTTCTTGGAGACGAAGGAAGGGCAGTGGGAGCAAAACAGTATCCTTTGTAAACGAGTTTGTGTGCCATTATTAATAGCACCACTACAAATTGAAATTCTCTAAATCTTGGTCGTCGTGATGAAATCAAAAATCTTTCTTGTTTCATATTAAAAACAGAGAGAATATAAATATAAATAGGCGAATTTCACATTCAAATTTTGACTATCAGCTCTTAAAAATTTTCCAACTTAAACGCCAATGTTCTAATTAAAGCTTTTCGAAGACACATCTAAATGAAGTTTTTACTCAAAAAGCGTCACTGATTTCGAAATAGTAAGGCAGCTGTATTTCCGGATTAGGCGTTCACAGAATATTCATATCTTAACAGATATTTACATTTATTTTTTGACAGAAGGTAATAAATCTGTGGGTTTATGATTTGGAAGATAAAAACCTCGCTCTTAAATATTTTGCTTTTAGGATCATGTTTGCATAAAATTCAAAAGAAATGTTCATTAAACAAGGACATGAAATCCCAACTGGTGACACAAAAGAAAGCAAAAAAGCTCAATTGTCTTGAGGTAATTTTTACGCTGACTCTTATGGTTCCGGTAAAGTAGACTATACGTTTCTAACAACAGCACACAGATAATTATGCAAAATATTTTGGGTTCCATTGAACGGCCTTTGATTGACGATTTTTAAGGTACCAAACTACCAGTGCAAAACTCGACTTAAACTCTGGCAGCAGCGAGATGCGGTGAGAGGCAGATGCATGAAAGAAGCATGGGCTATCCTGCTAGCAGAGAATTTCTTTCTGGAAAGGCTTTTAGCATGTACGATCTTGCACGAGCGAAAAACTAACAACGCCGTGTATACTATTTAATACCTTGCCAGAGGAAACACTATAGATACCAGAAAGGTAGCATGGTTTTGGTTCTAATGCAGAAATATGGACTTGTGCGGAAAACCTCTCCTATCTTCCACTGTTGGGAAACCAGCAAAAGGTAGGTAACCTGATGAAGAAACTAAAATGGCTTTAGTTTTGGCACTTTTTTGTTATTATTCATTCAGTGATTTCAGGGCTCTTCAGTGCTGTGTAACAACCTGGCTAGTGGAGGCCCCAAAAGACACATCCAGCGTTTCACCCGTGTGACGAAAATTTCCTCTCGATTGCAACCCGGGGTAACAAACACCCAATTGACAACTCTCCCATGCAGAGCAGGTATACATGATTTAATACATCAACAACATAATTAAGAAGAATAAGATTTTTAATACTTTAATAACAATTTCTATACAAAGTAGAATGCTCTTTCTGATTTCACCAGATCGTTCAATATCGAATATTTGCATTGGTTATCAAAGAGATTTGTCAAAAGTTATATTGTCAAGCTAGGATTTTTTTATAGTACGCTGCGTTAAAAATAGCAATAAAGTTTTCTTTTATGTTGCAAGTTTTTATCACTGAATTAGCTCTACTGTGAAATCAGCTAATGTCATACAACATATTAATTTCTTGAAGCGTTTTCAAACACGAGGTGCACTTCTGTCATTTGTTGCCGCTCTTTTAAGCTTGGTTCCTTTCTGGATCTGACTTAATAATCCTGCTCGGCCTGGAACACTTGGAGGCTTCGATGGAACACTCCCAGACGAAGGTGGACGTTTTAACTGAGGTGGTGGCGGAGGTTGCTTAGGCGGAGGGGGTGGGGATTTGGGAAGAGATGACGCTTTGGAGGAAAACTGAACTGCTGGAACGATTTCTGCTTTGTCGATGGGAAGTCTTTTGCCTTTTGATCTAAAAAGAAAATATATGTTGTTTGAAACGTATAAAACGAGACAAAGCAAACAACTAAGAAACTGGTTCTTGAATGATTCACAGAAGACGTCATAGGCGTGCGGGCACCTTTGGACTTGGGATCCGAAGGGGCGGTGACCCTCTGGCCCAAAAAATTAAGTGCTGCCCGAATGTGGAGTTTTGAAATCGTCGAGGTAAAAACACAATGAAATCGCATAGATAAGAAAAAAATGGGCTTCGGTCAATGACTAATGATAATTGCAAGACGGGTTAGTCTACTCTGCTCCATCATGCTCTGCAAATACGTCATTAAAAGCAACATGTACGGTAGCTAGCATCTGACAAGAATTAACTAAACCTTCGAGAACCCAAGAGACACTTCACAGAGGCCATTTTCATGCACACATAACTTCAATAACTCTTGAAGCCTTCCATGCGATCCCTCAAATGCGCTTTCTTGACTGAAGAGACGTTTCTATACCAACAGGAGGTCAAAGCTATTACAGGTTCAGAGTACAGCTGGGTGCCATCAACGATAGTAACGCCACGAAACGCGCTAAATCATCACTGACTCACTTTCTTCGATATCTCTTTATTTGTTTCACCTAAGATTAGTTATCTAGATGGGAGTCGCCAAGTCCGAACGTTTGGCTCCCTCTTAGTTAGGGTATACTCAGCCAAAGAATTCTCATCTATCCAATTTTCTTCCAACGCCTGTCGCCCGAAAAGTTCGACTGACTAGGGGGTTGCCACCCCTCGTCTCCCTAGCCTTTAAGCCTATGAAAGAAGTAACAGCTAAACAGACGAACTGCCCAATAATGACAGAGACAGAAAACTTTCAGATTCCCTCGAAATCAAAAGATAGACATACATACATACATACATACATACGTACGTACGTACACACATACATACAGAGACAGGGGCTGTTTACAAGGAGGGAGGAAGATCCTAGTACCAGGAAGAAGCTAGACTGAGGATCATCCTGGCACGATATGTTTCCTGTATCGTCGTTACATGCAAAGTGTTGTACTTGTTCCTAGAGCTAGGATCTTCCTAGGTGACAGGTAGGACGATCCTAGCACTGGGAAGATCCTAGCACCACGTAAACTGCCTTCGCCCGGAAGGTCCTAGTACTATCGTTCAGTTAATCACGGCAATAAAGGCCCACCATTTCGCTGGGCGTTACCACGAGCTGATTATTCTGATAATTCTGCTGAAAGATAGTTGTTAACGCCATTTTTAATTCCTTTTCGAACCTTCTATATTTGGGCACCACACGGACCGAAATTTCTGCGTGTAAACCCATCGTAAAGTTGTTCCACCTTCTAGGAACTTCCTGGTAACAGGGCCTTCCTCTCTCCATGTAAACAGCCCCTCAGACAGACAGACAGACAGACAGAGTTAGCTTAATCCAAGGATAATATTCGTCGTTAATAACCAAGCTGAAGAAACTAACTTGGAAAGCTTTCTTTCTTTTGGAACAGCTGCGCTTTCCTCTGGTTTTGCCTTCTTTGTGGAGGGTCTTCTTTTTCTTTAAATTACAAAAAAAAACACTGTTTTAGAATTACGAAAGATTACAGCCATACAAGCCACAAGCCGCGACCAAAAGGATCCTGTATTGCAAATACTAATTGGTTGTAAAATGATAAGAGTAGCCTACATGTAGGTTAAAAACAAAGGTTAAAATCCTCGTTAAATTTTTGGTCAGTCAACGTCACTTACGACGGTTACCTTTCTATAACCGTCCCACAAGCAAGCAACGAAGATGGTTTTAAACGGCAAATACCTCGCGCGCGATAGAGGACTACCAGTTAGTTGTAATAATAAAAAACACGATATAATTACCTTATAATATCATCTTTTCGATCTCTGTAAAGTCTGAGAAGCTGCTTTACATTTGAACCAAAACGGACCTGACGGATAACAAGCAGAAACATTGTCAATAACTTAAATACATTAATCAGCCAAAGAACAGCAAGGACGTGTGATATTCTTGAATTTATACTTACCGGACCAGGGTTATACTTTTGCAGCCCACTAATATCACCACCTTTGAAAAAAGGGTGACTCACAAGCTGAAAACAAAGAAAACCACAAAAAACAATAATAATTAAAGGCATAAGACATACAGTATGTACCAGATGGGAATTAACAAGAAACCACAATCAGTACCAAGGCTTCTTAAGTAAGAATAAAATCACTGCAGCGTGAATTTAATTATATATCCTTTCATTCTTTCACAGACTTTAAGGTGACTCCACCCAGTTATTTTGTGAGGGTACCATCCTACTTTGTAGCTCTCTGGTATCCCCACCTTTACTTTGATCGTAAGTCTAACATATAGCATGGATAACAAATAGATCAATCTACAATATAGCATAAAATTTTTGGCGATCAGAGTAAATGTCACGTGGTTATAGTGCCACGCCTCTTTGGGGCCTGAGTCGAAATTCTGCTGTTGCCGGCATTTTTTCCTGAAAATCTCTCGGCTACATATAGTGCGTATTAGTGCTTTGCGTTGAACAGACTTTCACCAAAATCGCAAAGACTCAACGCGAGAAATTCAGCGGTTTCCAAATTTAGGTCATAATTTATGCGAAAATGAAAAGCCAACTTTACACGATTATATCTAATAAACTATGAGACTTATCCCTTTATTTTGGGGATCTTTATAACAGATGGGTCCTGGCAAGTCAGCAAAAAACTTTAGGGCCTTGTAAATGCGCGCTATTTCGAGCAATGCAAACATATAGAGTGTTTTCACTCACGTGGCCAGCATCTATGCAAATTTATTGGAACAAAAGAAGCGTTCGCATAAGAAAAGAGTTCAACTCCCAGAGGATTGGTTTGGGACACCCACATGGCCGTCGTGACGTCATGTGAAAACACTCTATACAAATTATAGCTTTAGCTAGTTGTTGACGTTTGTCAGCGTTTAAGAGTCCTTTTCACGAAAAAAGCATTTTCTTAAAAATTCGTAGTTTTTTTTCCTTCAAATTTTTTCAGGGCCACAATTGATTAACTAACTACCCGGATTCTGAATTTCATGATGATTGAAAAACTGTGACACTATCTTCTATAAGCCCAAACGTGAGTAAACAATGAAGATTTTTAGCGTTTTGGCTGAGTTTGTGCTTTGGGAGTTTTCTATTGTTTCTAGTCTGTGATGATACAGCATTCTTGTTCAGCACGCATAATTTTGGTACGGTGAGACAGGCGATGGCGTGATACAAAGAGGTTTGACTCACGATTTTTAATCAATTCTCGTGCTTCTTGTGCCTTTCAAAAAAATCAAGAAATGCTACACACTAAATCTACTTGCTATTAAAAAATTTGATTTTTACATAGGCTTAATGCAAGCCAATAATTAAACCAACTCGTTACTTATCCTTTTATCTGGTAGTGAAAAAATTAATTACACTTGTAAGCACAGTCAGTTTTTTGTGACTCTTGGTTTCGCTCTAGAATCTTCCTCGTCTTGCTTAGAGGTAATGCTAAAATTGTTAGCAAAGCCCTTGTACCTCCTGCAGTATACAAAGCGCTGAGCGCGTTCATGTCTTAGACGTTACGTGACGGGAATCCCTTTTATTTTCTCATACAAAATTATCATATCTCGGTGAACATTCGGAAGTCAGCCAAGCGCGGTCATTGCACGCGTGCTGAACAAGAATGTTGTATCATGACAGACTAGAAACAATTGAAAACTCCCAAAGCACAAACTCAACCAAAACGCTAAAAATCTTCAATGTTTACTCAAGTTTGGGCTTATAGAAGATAATGTCACAGTTTTTCAATGATCATGACACTCGGAACTCGGGTAGTCAGTTAATCAATTGTGGCCCTGAAAAAATTTGAAGGAAAAAAAACTACGAATTTTTAAGAAAATGCTTTTTTCGTGAGAAGGACTCTTAAACGCTGACAAACGTCAACAACTAGGTAAAACTATAATTTGTATATGCTTTCATTGCTCCAAATCGCGCGCATTTACAAGGCCCTAAAGTTTTTTGCTGACTTGCAAGGACTCATCTGTTATAAAGATCCCCAAAATAAAGGGATAAATCTCTTAGTTTAATAGATATAATCGTGTAAAGTTGGCTTTTCATTTTTGCATAAATTATGACCTTTATACTACTAATGAGAAATTTCTGCAATTTGATTGGCTTAGAGCAGTGGTATTTCAGCTTAATTTGAAATACCTACATGTGAAAATTACAAACCTTTTGCGGGTAGTAGTATAAACAAATAATAGCATGATTTGTACGTGATATTTGGCATAAATACCACTAGTGATATTTCAAAATTGTCTCAAATTTCACTCGCCTAACGGCTCGTGAAATTACGTATAACAATTTCGAAATATCACTCGTGGTATTTATGCCAAATATCACTACAAAGCATGGTACTACCTATAGAAATTTGGAAACCGCTGAATTTCTCGCGTTGGGTCTTTGCGATTTGGGTGAAAGGCAAAGCACTAATACGCACTATATGTAGCCGAGAGATTTTCAGGAAAAAATGCCGGCAACAGCAGAATTTCGACTCAGACCCCAAAGAGGCGTAGCACTATAACCACGTGACATTTACTCCGATCGCCAAAAATTTTATGCTATATTGTAGATTGATCTATTTGTTATCCATGCTATATGTTAGACTTACGATCAAAGTAAAGGTGGGGATACCAGAGAGCTACAAAGTAGGATGTACCCTCACAAAATAACTGGGTCGAGTTACCTTAAAGATAATAGAACATAACATTAAACCTTCATTTTGACACGATAAGAATAAAAGCTGGAAAGCTTGTGGGGTCGTGTAAACTACTAACTAGAATACATTAATTGAAATAAATAATACACATATAAGATAACAAATGACGAAGCTAAAAACAAACTATTTATCTGAGACCTTAAAATATTAACTTAAATTTCTAAAAGTATACGTAATTTCAATCTCTATGTCGAGTTGTAGATGCTGTTGTGCTGTCGAAGAGAAAGTTTATTATATAATCCTTAGTAGTGAGTAGTCTTGATCTTTTGATTTCCTAAAAATTTAGAATATCTATTTTATCATTACAATTAACTAAATTCCAAAGAGCTGATCCCCGAAAGGCTTACGAGTCTCAGCTCATGAATCTGCTGTTGCATCTCGGAATGAAAGAAGATCTGGTATTACCACGCCATTTAGCCTTCTAAATGCCATCTTTTAATGATAATAATAATTGTGATGATGATGATGATGATAAAACTAATAAGACAAGAAGGAGGAGCTTCTCACTGAAAATGGTCTTGATCGGTTTTGTACAAAAAAAGAAAACAGTTATTGCCAAGAAATAAACGCAACTCATTAAAGCCATATTTCGGGTATGGATTGCTCAAAATGCACGTGCTACCTCCCATGCAAAGTTCCAGCAAAAAGAGAAATTTTTTGCAGGAGAAAAGAGTTCAATTCCCACAAAATTTTTCTGGTACACCAAAATGACTCCCGTAAATCTTCGTGGTCTTCAAATATAAAAATTGCTCATTAATGATTGTGAAATACGCCATACTTTACTACATTGGCAACAATAACACTTTAACGGAATCATAAAAACAAATTTACCTCATCTAAAGATGGATATATTTCACTTTCAGGGAAAAAGATGAAATTTATCACCTGCAAAGATGACCCATATAACAGCACATTAAATACATTTTGCAAAAAATAAAGTACAGCAGAAAGCACAGGAAAGCGGCACAAATCAGAATATCACACACCTCCACAACTGGTGTATTTTTAAAATTTACTAATTTCTCTTTCTTTGGTTCGGCTGTGGTTAATTCATAGCCAGCCAACATCTCATATAATAGGTGACCTAATGTAAAAAAACGTAGAACATTTCATTCTATAATTAATTAATATGTTAAGGTTGTGAGGTGGGGAGCCTTCTTTAATACGTGATATTTCTGAAAACTACAATCGGCGACAAAATGAGTTGAGACACTTCGCCCAAAACTGGGCTTTTCTACGTTTTATTAACTTCAAAGGGAGGAAATTTAGCTTTCCTCCCCCATCCCCTCCGTGCAATGTTGTGCCTTGTTCTAGCTACCTGTAGAAAGCAACAAACACCCCAACTTTGAATGGAGGGGACAGGGGAGGGGTGCGGATGCCTTTGTTCTCCGAAATTACCCTATTTAAGTACAATGTCTCAACAATTTTGTCGCCGATTGTAGTATTTTAAAAAACTAAGAATATTGACCAACTTGATTAAGCATCGTACGAGCGTAAATCTGCCGGTGGGGACATTCCTATTTGGCCTAAAAGGGTATGTGCTGCTGCTGTATAGGGTGTTAATTCTTTAACAGGGTATACAATTTCACTCTTAGTGTGTTGAAAAGGGTGTTTTTTCGGACCCGAAATCTTAAAAAGAGTGTGAAGGTTGGCGATGAGCGGGCCACATGTGTGGAACCAACAATTTCCTTCAAAAAATCTAACTCCTTGATGTAAGTATTAAAAAAAAATACTCAGTTCTGTATGCCAAACGAAATAATTCAGGGTCGTGAAATAAGGTCTTAAACTGGGTAGCGAAATGAACGATTTCGCCTCGGAGGCACAGCTCTACTCAAACTTCCCTTGAGTGCCCCCCCCCCGCCCCCCGTCCGCTCCCGGGGAAATCTATCATACAAGCGACTTGCGCTAGTAATACTCGGATCTGTGAGCGCTAAAGAATGTTTTTTTTTCACCATAATGTATTTTGTATAACGTATTTTGTTATGTATAACGTATTTTCTTATGAACTTCCAAAAGTCATTTACTATTAAGTTCCCAAAGTAACGGGGGGATTCACCAATTTTTCTGTATAGCAAATGTTCGTTTGTGTGATGTGGGTGTGTGTACGAGGAGTAGGCAGAGAGGCACAGGAGCAATTCTGACGTACTGAACTTTTGAAATGCTTACAAACGAAATGTCACTCGTTTTCATTTCAAAGTAGCACGTGTTGTTTCCAGTCACTACTTTCACTACTGTGCTCTCATGAGGCTGGAGAAGAGCCTGTTACTTTATCGTAGTCAAGGAGCAAGTTCTTACCAAACTGAATAACATCAATGTGACTATGGCTATCTTTACATAGCTTCTTTAGCAAAGGATCGAGCCTTGATTTCCAACCAAGTAAGCTGTTTTCAAAAGCTGAAAGTCTAAACAGGATAAAGTAGTTAATGAAGGTCTTTTACCAAAACGCAGACCATTGATACATGTACATTGAGTATGAGCATTGTCTAAGTCGTTTAAGGGCTGGCGTTGTGAGGGTTGTATAGTTCATGCTGTTGATCACAGCTTCGCTTCAACCAAATGTCTCCTAAATGTTACAACAAACGTTACAAACAACACCAAAAAAAACAAGTTTTCAAAACCACAGTTGCAGTCCGTTTTCAATCTTCTTCACGTTCCTCCTTTTTACTTTCTTATGTTTATACCTTCTTCTCATGTTTTGAGCAGTTATTTTTTCGCTTCACTCAGATTAGTCCCTTTAACAACATTACAACCAATCTCAACAACAAGACTAAGATTTGCAGGGTGCTCACATAACCAGCATACACTAACTGGTAGATGATGGTGGTATGAAGCATAATCTTGCCTGGTTTAGTTTCTAAAGAAATTGTGGTGTTGCGTCCGTTGGCGAGTGAAATACATATATTCAGTCTTATCAACTACACTGATGAAATAAATTTTCCACCATACAGAGTAACAGCGGACATTGAACACGCAAACTCTTGGATAACTTAACGGTGGTAAATTAATTTGCTTCATCAAAGTGGTTAATTAAACTAAATCAGTTTTGCATAGCAAACAAACTCGCACTGTTCGCAGCCTGTTTACAGATGCTTCTGTATGTTACTCCAGACGTTAGAATGGATGATCATTTCATGCAGTTTGGAACGTCGGAAACGGCTTACAACGGTCTCTTGTGACTCGTAAAAAACTTCTTTTATGCTTGCGTAATACGCAGCCAAACTTTCCACAGAAACAACGGCATTATTGGTTGTTGGTGTGGCGGATCTGTTCCTGGCCGCCAGCGCTCTCCAATAATAATTACTCTCCAATAATAATTAATAAAGGAATTGACAGAAACGTTTTCCGTAGCATGGCGTTAAGTCATCTAGCTTGCTTCTTTCTCTAGTTTGTGATGAGATAACTATGTGAAGTCGATGTCAGGCTGACGACGGGTGAATTTGGGGATAATGTGAGGTCAGGCCGATGTAGGACCGATAATACACAGATCGATCCTGTTACCTGCTGTAACCATAAAACGTTACGGTAGGTTACAGTTGGCGGCAAAACATCGCGGTGGAAATGGAGGAAAGAGGAAATATTAATGGAGGACAAGGAGGAGAGGATAGTGTGCGCTAAGTCTAGTAACCAGTACAATTTATAATAAATACGGCAAGAAAAAGAACTTACGAACTATAGGTGATCAAGATAAACCATTGCAATATATAAAATTCAAATACACTTACTTAGAAGTTCCATTAACGATAAATACGTTTCCAGAATGTAGATGATCACATACTGGGAGGCCTTTATCTCTTAAGTATAACAACGCCTGAAAAAATACCATTAAACACCATGAGGTAAATAACACAAACATAAAGAGAAAAAGGAAAACATATGTCATGTACACTCCACAAAGAGTAAACCTTAACATTTAATATTGTTAATACCTCTAAGACTTGTCGTCCATAGTTTCGGATTTGTGTTAGTGATAATGATTTTCCTTTTTCTTGGTACTTTTGTTGCCATGACGACTGTGGACGTGACTAAAACAATTTTTTATCAATTAGCTGACCTTTGTTACCAAGTTAAACAAGGTGTGACCTTTAACTTTCTATTTTTGACAAAGTGGAAGAGGTCTTCAACGCAGCCATTCTTTCGCATGGCGAGCGTTTAAAGAAGAAGGCCGAATTAACCCCTAAAGTTTCAGTAGTGACCAGGGCCCGGTTCTTGAAACGTTGATTATCCAGACCAGGATAAACATTTTGTTCCCTGTTTTGTATTTACCTTCCTACATGTATCCATTTCTTAGAGTAACATTTTGTTTTATCATTACTGTATCTTAGAGTAAAGGCCCAATAGTAGTTTGTACACTTGAGTTGTGTGTTCTTAGACGAGAAAACTGTGATTACAATTTGGCTTAATCTTGGTTTAAACTTAACCATCTTTCTAGGAACTGGGCCAGGAGTATAAACAAATTCTCCTAAACAATTCGTTAAGAAATGTAGGGAGAACAATGACGAGAACAATCATGTTCATATCAAGGCCTAAAGGGTAAGGAAGAGACCAAAACAATATCCCTTCCCTCAATCCTCATGCACCCATCGAGAACACACCCAAAAAATTTCCCCTGTTCCATTCCCTTTCTAATGCCTGCCATGCAGTCCATGAGAAAACATAAAGAATAGCCGCATATATGCGTAGGAGTCAAGAACCAGACTGACAAGGGCTGAAAAAAGACAAAAATAAAGACGAAACAATAGAGATCAGCTATATATTAAGACAATGTCCATCTTACCCCATAAATGATGTCCTTCAATGATCCTGCTGACCGGTATGGATGTATGAACATTACCATGTTATGCTCAAATACAAAGTCCACATCCATAACGGGAAATAAGTAGGGGTGCTGCGGAAAAAATTAAACATGGATTTAGAGGGACTATTACTGTTCAGTCTTCAACACCTTTTACCTTTGATTACCTGAACAACACCCTAAATAACCGTTTTACCACTATCAATGCCATCTTAAAAATTTCTGTCCATGTTGTTTGTTATCATAATCAGTAACAAAGCTTCCCTTTACTGCTATCAACATCGTTTATCTTCACCACACCATTATGCTTACAAAGATACACTAAGTTACAGCTGTACATGGAAGACACCATGTAACTATTATTTAGGTACTGGCACTTCAACAGATAATCAGTCACTGGGCTAAAATAGCAGGTACAGGTGTGGTTGCAAGTAAGAGCATGGTTGATGATTAGGGTTGGGGACCGATCCAGTTAAAGGGTCTTTAGTCACATGTACACTCACTTGCAAATTTACATTAATGTAACCCTCTGATTATCAATAAATACAAGTGACATGTAAAGTGAACAAACCTGCAAGAGGGAAAACAGCTCTTTCAAAGTTTTCTTTGTTGATTTGGTGAAGGAAATTACACACTGTGTATTCCACGGTACCATAGTTAAAACTGCGTCTATCCCTTGTTGACTATCACGCACAAGAAACCACTGTTTGTTAATACGACTCCCTGCAAAAAAAAAAATAGACCATTATTTTACTACACTTCACCGTCATGGTATACATTTACTTCTCATAAGAGTCCAACAATGATTCTATTCACGATCACCTGGTTAAGTCTCTTGCACTTTTGGTGAATCAAGATACAATGTAGATATAGCTGGGAATTACAATATTAATTAAGGGCTTGCAACCCTGATGGTATCTTAAACTGTCTGTTGAAGGAGCGCAGATAATTTCTTGCTTTCCCATCATCTAAAAACACAATCATGGAAAATGGCAGATTTATGCTGCCATCCCTGAGAAAGAAAAACTGATGGAAGATCTCAGGAGGAATATCAAACTAACATTGCTATCTGCTTGTATATAACACATAAGCGCCCTTAAATAAATAATAATGATTATACCAAGCTGAATCCGCATGGTACAGTTTCTAACTCATTCTCTCTCCAAACTAAATCTAATTTTTACTTGAAGGTTTAATTGCAAAATGAGCTTTTCATAGTATTATAGCAAGACTCATGCTAATGTCACCTATTGATATCGAGATGTACATTGGTCCTTGTAACAACAGGTTCTTTTGTTTACAATATATACCTTGTCACAAATTTGAATAACACAAACGCTGCTTGTCAAGAAATTTTTGCGTCTTACCTATATCTGGTAAATGGTCTATAAAACCGTATGTTTTGGAATCCTTCAGGTAATAATAACAATTGAGCAGCACTGCATCTGCCAAGAGGAAGAGCAAAAATAGGCAGTCTATGACTTCACGTGGCTTACTGTATAGCTTCACCTAAATAAGGGACGACATCTGACATTTGCAAACTTCATACTAAGCTAAATCATAATGCAAGGAAACCAGAGTAGAACAAAATAGCAACAAAACTATGGGTATGCAGTCTGCAAGTGTGACATAGTGTTACTGGGGTACACGTCCCGCTTAGGTACCAGTCCAAACGGTAAGTCAGAAAAAAACAAAAAGTTCAGATAAATGCAATGTAATTGTTTTTATTTGAGATGTTTGTAACAATATTCTGTATTTCATACTTAAAGGTTTGCATTAAATGTAAGACACGGAAATAGCGCTGAAACGAAACAACGAGGCTAAAAATTACTAACACGGCTAAACAATGCTACTAGGAGAGTAAACTACACTAAAATGTAAAAACTAAACAAACATGCTAAGAACAAGCGTGAAAAATAGCACGTGACTCGTGTCAAGAGTCAAATGATACGAAACAAGAGATGAAAAGAATAAAAGCCCAAAGAGGTCAAACTGTAAGGCTGTGATCTACGATCTCGCACAAAAACGTGGCAAAGCTATAAGCATAACAGTAAGCTAAAGGAATACCAATGGCTTCATTCAGATGAATTATATATTGTTTTTGACTTCTTGTTGACTTAAAGTAGTAGCTATAGAAACTATCTTCTCTCCAGATAAATCTTGTTTTCCAGAGTTTATAATTTGCAGCAATACTAAGTAAAACAGGAAACGTTTTTGAAGCATTTTCTTACGCTCCTGTCTTAGTTTTCTAAATTTGAGTGACTGTATAACTTCTTTTAATGGTACTGTACTCTGGATGGCTCTCAATTTCTTACTCTTCCAGTTACTACTTTAGAACATGCCCAACAGAGGAATGACTCTTGATATCGTTCTCAGATCGCCACACGGCAAAGAAGTTCAGCTGCACAAAACACTTGATCGGGCTTCGATGGAGTCATACATGTTCTGGAAAATTGGAAACTGGCTTTTTTGCTAACAAGATCTCCGTAAATACAAAGACAGCTGCGCAAAACTCATTACGAAAAAAGAACTCACCTTCCAGTCCACGGCGTCAAACAACTTGGCAGCTTTGAGAGCACATGGCAAATCGAGGATTTCTCGTGTAAAGTAAAGGATTCGCGACGCTCAGGAATGTATCAAAGTTGACTTTTTTTGAGAAGATTGGACATGCAAAGTCTGAAGGTTTTCGGTTTTATTCTATTTGACGAAGTGAGAGCTGAATTAGGCCTGGTTCAGACGCTGTACTTTTCATGTGCCGAACCAAACTGAATAAGTTCGACTTTGGAGCGACACTGGCGCGACATCTGATTCCGACGGCGTACCGTGTGTCGAATCTAAGTTAAGTTTGACAAACGTTCGACAGACTCAGTCGAACTTAACGCTTATGCCGCACCAAACTAAAACTGCCGTACCAAATTGATTCAGACGCCGCTCTTTTGCCGTACTTAATTCATCAGTTAGGTTCGGAGTGGAGTGAGTGGAGCGGCGTCTGAACCGGGCCTTAGGCCCGGTTCAGACGCCGAACTTTTCGTGAGCCGAACCTAATTCGAATTAAGGCCGACCCAAATTATTTAGACCGGCTAAAGTGATTCAGACGCCGATCTTAATTCCAGCCGAACTAAATTCAGAAGGCGAAAAATGCGCATTTCGGTCAAACTGCTTACAAAATACGTCATAAGAATTTCTGCATTTGGTTCGGGACATGAAAAGTTCGGCGTCTGAATCAAAGGCGTTCCAAAGTCGATCCAAAGGCGAAATTCCCGCCCGGGCTAGGCGAAAAGAACGGCTGAGCCGTTCCAAATTGAAACAGGCGTTCCTAATTGATTCAGACGCCGAACTTTTGATGTACTTAATTCAATGTATTAGGTTCGGCTCATGAAAAGTACGGCGTCTGAACCGGGCCTTAGTTCGAGATATCTCGAGATCACTTCGATTTCTTTGATTTATTCTTTAACTTTTTCGAGGAAGAAAGAATTATTATTTTGTCTTTCCCGGGGTTTGAACCGACTCACCTGTGTGACCCGTCAGATCAGAAGAGACTCTAAGTTGAGGGATTAGCCGACTGCGACCCAAGGTGGTTGGGGATATGAAAATTAACTATGAAATTGTGCACTAGTTTCGGGACAAGATTGGGTGCGCAAGTTCGTGACTTTTCGGCTCGTTTCGGCTATTTCACGAAATGAGACCGGACTACTTCGTGATATCTTGAGATCTCTTCGAGTTTAGTCTTTAACTTACTAGAGGAATACATAGAGGATATTTCTTCTCTTCGCGTGTCGAAAAACATTTCACGAGTGAGCGCTCCTTTCGAACTGTTTTATGATGAATTTAAAGTTAAAAAATGCTGCACACAGACGTTTTGTCTTTGTTGAGTGTTACATATTAAAGCTGCTTTCATGCGCTGCGTGAACTTTCTCGAACGTTCTCAACATTTTTGAATTATTCATGAAAAATTAATTAGGGCATGTTTACGGGCGCTTTCCATTCAACCCAAAATTCCGGAAATTTCGGTTGGTTCATCAAATCGAACGGACCATTTCGGTCTGGTCCGACCGGAATATTCGGGACCAGCTTTGAAGGTGGTCCTCAGTGACCGGTCGGGTCATTTCGGTCGGTCGGACCGAAATGTGCCTTTCCATTTGCCAAAATTGTTGTTCCCAGTACCGCTCTTTTGTATCCTGCGTACAAGAACAAGTAGTTTCCATTGGAAAGTCAAGTACTGTGAGCAAAGCTATGACATCTCAAATAGTTTGAATCAGTTGCAATTTTTTTTCGATTTTTGATATTTGTCAGTGTCAAATAACTGACACAACACGTAGGTGAAAAAAGTCCGTGAGAATCAGTGTATTATTTGTCTGAAACCTGTCCACGATATTTAACTAAAGCAATTCATCAATTAAGCTGAAATGAATACAACAAAGCCTGGCTGAATACGAATTTGGCCAAAACACCGAATTTATTTACCGCACAGTTTTAGGAATTGCTTCGAATCGTTCGAATATTCTGAGAAACGTATCGTTTCAATTCACGAGAATTTTTTACCTTCACTTGCTTTCATAGGCTTTCTACGCGAAATAGGATTCCTCCGCCTTTAGTTTTACACCGTCCCTTTTGGACAGTGGAGTGTTCTTTAGGATATAAGCAGTATTTACTCTTCTCTTTTAGAGTGTAATTTTGAGTCTGCTGCGAGGCCACAATAACAAAACGCGCGGTGGCTTGGGTCGGGTCTGTGCAACCGGAATGTACCGTTCCATTGAGCACGTGAAGTTTCTGAAATTTCAAACCGGAATTTTTGTTGAATGGAAAGCGCCCTACATTTCAGCATGAGACAGTAGATTTGTAGCCTGCGAAAACATCCGTTTCTCCTCGCTCTTCGCCGCTGGGGACGTTTCGCGAGGAGGAACGTCGCGAAACGTCCCCAGCGGCGAAGAGCGAGGAGAAACGGATGTTTTCGCAGACTAGCAGATTTGCATCACTGAAATCATAAAAATTAATCTGTCGAAAAGCTACTACTATTCGCCTGTTTAGTATTTTCTAGAACCTTATGTCAAACGGTATACAAGTTCCAAGCGAGTTCTTTTGACGAACTAAGTTTTTTCCCATGAGCTGGAGTGCTGAGTTTAGTTTTTTTCAAGTTCTGTGTTTACAAGTTGGCGGAAGCCGTAAGATATCTTAAGTTTAAGTGAGAGTTTGTTATTATAGGCAGAGGCTATTTAGTTTTACTTAAGTTCAAGTCAATTTTGTGTTGGCAGATACTGTGTTTTAAAGCTCTGTAAAGACTATGTTCCTTTGGTATTAAACTTCATTGTGGTAATCCGACATCCCTGCGTGCTGATAGTCAGTGAATAATTATCCTAAAAAAAATTCGAACTCGCAACATTGAGTTTTAGCCAATTCCATGCTCAACGTAATTGACCACTCTAGAAAATACCGTAACATACCATAATGCTCTTTGTTTGTCACCCCAAAATTTTGCATAAGCATTGTCTTCAGTTTCTCTTGGGAGTTAAAATGGCCCCAAGAGAAACTGAAAACAATGCTTATGCAAAATTTTGGACTGACAAACAAAGAGCATTATGGTATGTTATGGTATTTTCTGGAGTGGTCAATTGAGAGAAGTTGTTACGTCACGTTGCCATGGTAACAAAATTTTTGGATGACAACAACCGATAAAGTCACTTAAAAGTTCAAACTTCACCGATCTTATTCAATTTCATTTAATTTTGCAACTCTTGGTGAAACTTTCTTTGGGGCCGAATCTATCGTTTAAAAAAAGAACGCGACAATTTTTGATGTGGATAAATGTAATTTAGGCAAAGATAACCTCGAAGCAATGCTGGTCAGCAGTTTCCCCAGCTATACTAGGGGTGGCCCGATACCTCTAGCAGGGGCATCTCGTGACTTATATACGCAGTTGCTTGCTTGCAGTTTTTCGCAAAGTGTTGTTGCAATAGCCTGCTGTTTGCGTGCCATTTTGTGCTTTGGTTTTTTCCAATCCCTCCCTCCCTCTTGAGGTATGGGCCAGGTAAGTATTGGTCAGTAAGCATTCCATTGAATTGTTCAGTGTGACGGTGCCTGGTGGGAGCCGCTCGCAGGGTTGCAATGGATACTTCCTCCTCATGCTAGAGCATTACCCGGCTCCACCAACTTTGTAGGCACCAATGCCCAAGCTCATATATTGGTGATGAGTTAAATGTTTTGTTCACCTACTCCATAAAGGGTGAAATTAGGAAGTTTTTTGTCGTAGTGGTGCAACGACGACAAAGAAATGTACAAAATAGTGTGATGCACGTGCAAAGTTGTTGTTTGTTAATATAAACATATTTTTTTTGCCGTTCTCCTTGCCGTCGCCGTCGTTGTTGGTTTTGTTCTCATCCAGAAATAGTGCTACCATGGTAACGTGACGTCACACTTCTCCTCTCTATTGACTCCTTACCATGCCTTACATATCATTAATCAGTACATGAGACTGCTATGCTGTTTTTGAAGCCTGATGTAAGAAAAATAGAGAACTCTTTTTTCACTCTTTGTTTTGTTAGACTTGATATTCACCGCCAGTAACCTCACATTTGACTTAGGTCTAAACATTTAGACCCAAGTCAATTTTAGAAGGATTTGTATAGAGTCATCAGAGCATAACTGGGCTAATATCTCAGAGACAATTTGCCCCGAAATGCTAGTTTTTGGCAAGTAGGCCTCTTGGATGTTGCTCTTTTCGGAATATCCTGACAAATCCCATAATTTCACAAATTAACACCTTACTCTTACAATATTTCATTTCTTACTATTCCTCCGCATTTACAATTAATCAGTTCCACAACCATTACGCCGAGGTGTACGCTCCATAGCGTCTTGTTCCGAGTAAGATTCGAGGCCATTTGCAGCTATCCTCAACAAACGTTGAACAACCGACGATGATCCGAAACAGAAAAGGGGCTAAGATTGCGGAATATCAGATTGAAATTGGCAGAGTTCGTTGTGCACTCAGATTCTATTGTTACCCTCACTCAACGCGATAGCATTGTGGCCTTCTGCCTCTAAGAGGCAGTAAGCCACAAACTACTACCAACAAAAACCCACAAGTTATGATATCTAAAGTTTTGTGTTCTCTTGGAATATTTCCATTACATGTAAAGTGCTATACTCCAATTACCTCTTTCTGCCATCTTTTGTATTCTTTTTTCCTCATCCCATTTCTTTATCAACGATCTGTCTGCCTCAAGACCAAGGTAATTAAACTGATTTCGTCTCCTTTGAAGAAAGAATTGGATTAAATCATCATTATAATCTGGCTCCTGGCCAACAAAATTGTAACTTCAATGAAATAGTTTTGCAAACATGCAACAATATTTGCAGGCAAACTTCACCTTCCACTAGTGTAAACCTTTAATGCACTTTTTTTGGTATTCAAAAGATTGAAAAAATGCTAAGATTATTTCCAGTACCCTAATACAGTGTAGGATATTGAAGTAATAACTACCTTACCATTTTTTTGTTCACATAAACATTTATCAGTTTTTTACTTAAGAACCACTGGTTACTTAGGCAACAGCTTACCGATGTCTACAGATCAACCACAGAATTATCAGGAGCAAAACTGCAATGCCAGTAGCAATAAGGATAGGTGCCTGCAACAGAAAAAGACAAGCGTATCAACCATTAAGATCCTTGTATAACAACAGCTGAGCAGATTAGAGTAGTTGGCATGAGAAGTTCTAAGAAATATATCCTTTTGAAATATTTCTCCATGGAGGGTCTTATAACTGGAAATTAAAAAAACGAAATTTTGGTATATATGTAGAGTCCACCACCCCTCCCCCATCCCCTCCTAATTCAAAAGAGGAGGCCAGCAGCCCTGGCACTTAAAAAACTACTCTGTGGGTCCTGGATGATCAGGTATTTTACAGCCACTGCAAGAACATGGGGGATGTTAGAAAAATAGACACACACCCAACTATTTCCCCAACCAATCAAGATAATCACAAATAAAAAATGCCTGTTGTATATCATTTTAATTAAACAACTTAAAATTGCTGACATCTCATGCAATTAATGTACCAACTTGAACCATAATCTTAATTTGTAATTAAACAAGCTAATACAAGCTTAACAGCTTCATTAGGCTTTTTAACCATTGTTTTCAACCTAATTATAATATTCTCAAGTTTACCAGTAATAAATGTGAAGGCAGGTTCAAAACTCAGACCAGATCAAATAATTTATACATCCATCAAATCCAACTGTGCCCAGCCCAGTGGCATTTGCCTTCCTTGTCAGTACCGGGGGTTAGGCATTAGCAAATTTTGCATGGCCTGGGGGTCGGGCATTTCACTACATGTATCCCCCACGCCCGAGCTTTTGACATGCACATGGTTTCCTATCCTAATAACACTAAACATGGAGGACTGGAAACACAAGCAGATTTGGAAATCGGGAGCAATCAACATAATTATGTCAATGGACGTTTTTTCTTTTGATCTAGGATTTGAATAAAATTTAGGGGTAATGATTTTAATCCTTCTATGATCATGTATGATCAATCTATAATATGAAGAACTTCCTTTCAAATTATTAAACCATTCAGAACAGATAGCTTTACACACTATTATTGATTTAATATTTTACGGCACTTTTCTTTGCCTACAAACTTTTTATACCAACATAAATAACAATGATAAAATAAGAATCATAAATGGTTTTGTCACAGCTTAATAAGAATAGCGTTATTACAAAGGCACACACTAACCTGAAACGAAAAATTTCACTTTAAAAAATGCTTAAAGTGGCACTACTGTAAATGATCTAATAACCGGGCGTTTATTTAATTTGAGGGGTCCTGTACAGTACCGCAAATGATCCCCAACCGCAATAATGATCCTGAGACCGCAAATGATCCCCAAAATGGACCGCAAATGATCCTCGACCACAAGTGATCCCTAAAGTCGACTGCAAATGATCCCGAAAGAAAAATAGGAATGACGTGGACTCAAGTTAGCCGATCATCGTGTCGATTTTATTGTTATAACAATAAGTCAGATTAAAAGCTAAATTTTACTTCTCAAATAAATATATGAATGAAAACTAAATAAAAAAATCATTCAAGAGTAAAAAGGAAGTCGGTAGGCAACACACGACTTTTACCTCATGCTAAAATGCTGCTTATTCCAATGACTTTTTTCTGGCTCTGGCGGGTAGATTATACCTCTGAAGAAAACGTTCTGACTGAACAAATGTGATTTTTGCCGCTTATTTCATACTGATAGGTCATGACACGCATTTTCTGTGGTTACTGTTGTTTCTGGTCGGCATGATTTGCCCTTTGATGCAAGAGCATTTCGTTTGACCTCTTTTGAAATGCAGTGCTCTTCATTGCCGCTAAACAAGGGTTTTAGGTTGTTTAATTTTCTCCAAAGTACCTCCTGAATCCGAATGATCATAAGCGATTTTCTTTTAGTCCGTGAATGTGACGGTTTCTTACGATGTTTTGTCACGCAATAACTGTAGACCGCTTACCTGGCGTTTCTCATTACCAGGTTTAGATTCCTGGTAACTGTCTTCGGCAAAGCACAACAAATGAATATACATAAAAACGCTAATATAACTATTCACAACACGTTCATGAGATGTAAGAAAGTTGCTATTTCGAAATAAACCGAAACCAGTGGACATTGATAAGTTCGGGGACATTTTGACTTGTGTTTATGTTAAATCATGTCTTGTTTCGTAACCGGCACCTAAGTTACGAACAAATGTCTTGCTGTTTATCACGTAAAATTAACACTTCAGAGAAAAATCAAATGAAATATTCTGGCTGATTAATTTCACGCTTTCAAAAAGATCGGTAAAGTCAATAAAGCTCTTGTTATGTAGAGGGTGCCCGGCTTTGTATTCCTCAGTAGAAGAGTTGAGCTTCTAGGCGATAAATAATAGAGCTTTTTCTGCGTAACGTCCTGCCTGTCTTAAATTTTTCAAAAGACGAAACATTCTTGAAAGAAAAATGAAGCAATCGACAAAGGAAGAAGTATACGGTTAATACCATTCCTTTTCAGATTTATTCCATTTTTTTTTTCGCCTTGTATAAATTGACCTGAGATGTAGCGTCCTCCTTCCCTTTTTCTTTAAAAGGCGAGAGAAAAAGGTTTCTTTTTTATAATCAGTCCTTTTTTGTAATCAGGCCCATAAAAATCCATTCCATTCCTCAAGTTTTCATGGGATCATTTGCGGTCAACTTTAGGGATCACTTGCGGTCGAGGATCATTTGCGGTCCATTTTGGGGATCATTTGTGGTCTCGGGATCATTTGCGGTACTGTACAGTCCAAGGTGGGGGGGGGGGGGGAGGTAATAGATAGGAGGCGTTTATTTGAGAGAGGAGTTTATTCTCGTAACTTATTTTAACAAACTAGCTGCATCTGAATTGAATTTCCTTACCGACCAAGGGTTTGTGGAAAACGAAAACACGAAGTGGGTCTTGTCACTCCTGAATGCTATCAAGCTCGAACAGGCAAGAAAAGAATTGCTAACATATTGAGCACCGAGATCAAGAAGATCAAAGAGCGCTGTATCCTTACTTTGAACTTGAAATTGAACATGACATAATACACAAACAGATGTTAATCAAACAATGAAATTAATAAATTGATTGATTTTGCTATATTTCGCCATTTCCTAGTATTTGGAAGCGTTTATTAGAGAGGGGACGTTTATTAGAGAGGGGCGTTTAATACAAACTTAACAGTGTAGATGGGGGTGGGGTGGGGCGTTTATTTGAGAGTGGGCGTTTATTAGATCATTTACAGTGTTCACAGGCGGCCCAAGCTCATTACATAAATGCGGACGTCACTTTTGCCTGGGAGCGGTGTTGTGTTACAAACGGTTATTTACAAAGGCTTGTATGGGATGTAAACGGGTTTTCATAAAAGAGAGAAAAAATGTTATGTTTTTAAATAAAATCACACCGATCGCATAGTATGTTGGATAACTAAAATAAGCCTGGTGAGGATAGCCAGCATGGCTAATGGGTTTGTTTGTTTGTCAACTGCAGGCCGCTGGCTACCCTCACTGGGCTTATTTTAGTTACCTGACATACTATGTGATTGGTGAACAAGTCCATCGCAGTTTGGACGAGCCTAGTTCGATATTCTGAGGCCGATCTCTTTTAAGAAAAATCGTCTACATCCCATACAAGCCTTTGTAAATAACCGTTCGTAACACAACACCGCTCGCAAGCAAGAGTCACGTCCATTTTCATATAATGAGTTTGGGCCGTCTGTGCAGTGTTCGACTGTGCCACCAATAAACACTGCTACAGTGTGGATTGAGGAAGGGGCATTTGCCTTCTTTTTTGTCCCCACCACGGCGCATTTGGCAGCTCAAGTGTCCCAGTCCCTAGGAATTTGCCACCTATCATGCAAGGCGCCAAAAAAGATGCTTGCCAGGGAGTTGAAGAAGCCCAGAGGGGGGCTGGTTGGATTTAACTAAAGCATTGATCCAAGGTTAGGAACAACTACAGAATACAGGGCCATATTTTAAGGTCTTATACAAAAGTGGCTCGGTGGCTCGCTAGTCATAACAAGTGTTTAAAGAACGACAAGGATATAAGACATCTAAGTGTAAGACAGACAGAGAAGGCATATATTTTAGTGTGTATTATAGGTATATAATTTAGTGGCTTGGCGGCTTGGTGGCTCTTCAGTCGAAGTTATATAGTTTAGTGGCTTGATGGCTCAGTGGCTCGTTCATCGCGGTGCCCCAACGAAGGGCCAAGTCGCACTAGAGGACCAAACTGTTTATTGATGTCAAAAATCTGTCATCACAATGAAAAACCAAGTGCGACCAGTTTGTTCACCAAAGGACGAAATTTGGTCGCAGACGGACAAACTTCAAAGATACCGTCGACTACCTCTGGAGCAGGCCAAATTGAAACAAATTTTGGAAAACAATATCCAGAATGTTTTAATTCGGAAATGATTTGGCAGGTGATATCTAGCAGAGTCTCTATGCTATAGACTTTGTTGTAAAATTAATCACATTCTCATTTCACAACAACATGAATCCCGGCACGAACAACCAATTTTTTCCATACGAATATCCACAATATCCACCAGGATGGATCTATCCTTTGCCAGGCCCTTAAATGTTTAATGATCGAGGAAATCTTAGCCCATCTCCTTCGACCACGAGTACTGACTCGTTGCCAGAATCCCTCCAGTTCACTGAAGATAGCTCAATGCCGGCATCAACCCCATCTTCTTCGCGCCATGCATCTTCATCAGCTGAGAACAAGAAGGCTCAGGAAAGATGGAGTAAAGAAGAGGAGAAGCATTTAGTTGCACTATGGGCTGAAAAGCATGATCAGTTAGAAAGGCGAGAGTCAAGGAAAACGTGGGCTCAGATCGCCAAGAAGATTTGGAAAATAAAGTACATCATTGAACAATATAAGAACACTAAAGACTGGAACAAAAATCAAACGGGCGGAAGCCTTAGGAAATCCGTGTACTATGACGAGGTCGATAAAATCCTCAAATGCCGCGACGTAGTAACCTTCGATCATGTAGCTGAGGCGGGAATCAGGGGCAAAATGCCACCAAAATTAATGCAGGATCTAGTGATACTAATGGCAAGATTAGTACTTCATCCAGCCCCAGCGTGCCAGAAACTCCAGCTGAAAGGAGATGAGCATCGAAAGAGGGAAACAAGCTTTGAAACGCAAAGCACCTGATAAAGAGAGCGACGATGAGGCTCTAAAGGATGTGAAGCAGCAGGAAGAGAAAGTAGCAACCTTCTTGGATTCTTTGCAACAAACACACACTCAGCAGCTTGCCATGATGAGCCAGTTTATGGGATCAATTGTGAAAATCCTTGACAACGAACAGAATGATAAATGAACTTTAATTCAACACTATTTTTGACTATTGAGAGACAACCATTATCATGTTTATTGTTTATGTTACAAATAGAGGAAATGAAATCATGGAAACAAATGAAAGTAGTTTTAACTGATTTTTTTATTGTGAAGACAGAAAATACTCAGTTTTTAAAAAAAAATCAGACTGTCTTTTAGCAACTCTCTTATATCTTTCCCGTCCTGCATGAAGTCATTGTTCTGTTTGTTTCCACAGTCATCATCGTAGTCGTAGAAATCATCCTCCCATTCGTCCCCAACTTTAATGCGAAAGTTATGCAGCACTGCACAAGCAATGGAAATCTTCACCACCAAAGTTATTCTGCTATCCAACTGCTTTTGTAAAATTTGCCAACGACTTTTGAGGCAGCCAAAAGTGCACTCGATGGCTACTCGTGCAGATGACAGTTCCTTTTTAAAAGTTATCTCGCCAGGGTCATGCGTGGCTTCAGGATAAGGCTTCATAAGCCATGGGGAAATACGGTATGTGCTGTCTCCTACCAGGTAAGGGTGAATATCTGTAATACCGATTCTTTCAACGGGCTCTCTGAGTATATCTTTGTTGCTTGCTCTTTGATAAAGGGAGCTGTTTTGATATACCCTAGCATCGTGAAGACTTCCTGGATAACCTTCACCAAAGTCAAGGAATAATCCCTTACCGTCAGCAACAGCTTGAATCATGTTGCTGATTTCGACTAAAGTAATCAACAGCACTGTCTCTAGGAGAAATTATTTTGATATGGGTCTCATCTATGGCTTCAACAATGTTTGGAAGTCGTGATTTGTCCGTAAATGTCTCTATACACCTCATTGTCTCAGCTACTGTTGTTGGGAATTTGATGTACTCGCTCCTCAATTCGTAAAGAGCCTCAACAACATCTTGACAAGCCTCTATTGCTGTAGTGCTACCGACTTTAGCGCAGGTCCTATTGTGTCGTACAAATTTCCATGTGCAAGGCGAAGTGAACCACAAGCAAGAACCTTTTCCGGAGTGAGACAATTTCACAGTATTGTATGCTGTCTTGTCAGCCGGTTGTGAATTACGTTGAGCAACAAATCAAAGTTTTCTCTGTTGATTCGTAAAAGCCTTCGAAGGTAGTCCCCTGGTATTGTCCGATCAGTGTAATGGATCTCAAACCACGATTCGACTGGACAAGGAAGAGTCCAATAATATGGAGCTCATCTTCGATAACGATTTTGTCGACAGCGAATACGTCGTGTCAATAGCAAGTTTTGTGTTTGTAAATTCTGCATAAATAACAGTCAGCATATCATTAAATTGATATTTACCTGCTACTTAAGAACCAGAAAAAAGTAGAAAACAATCACTGCGAGAATTCTTCGTGGTAACATTTTTTTTTATCCCTCGTGTCGCAGTTTTGTGGATGTAAACAGCAAGTAAAGGCAGCTTCGTGGGAAATCGTGGGAAATCACAACGCGCTCACAGCATGGTGTTGTGTTTTGTTCACAGATTTTGTTCTTAAGTGCGACTGTAGATTTCCGGACAAATGTTTTGCCACTGGCTGGTTTCAAGTCGGATTTGTCCAGAAGAAATCCAAAATTGCCCTCTAGTACGACTTGGCCCGAATATACCGAGAAAATTTGCCTGTATTCTGTAGTTTAAAGCCGCAAAAAATATTATGCCAGAATTTTAAGGGCAAAATGTTTTAGCAGAGACGTGAGTTTTAACAACGCACTTTAAGCATATTTCCACTTACGTACCCAGATATTACGACCCAGAAAGTCCACAAACGAGCCCATTTTTATACTCCAGCAACTAAACAGAGTCCGCCACCAGCAGACATCCCTGCGTTCAACACATGAAATATCGAATTTGAAGAAACCGTTTTCACCAGGCGTTCCAGTAAATTGCAGTCACGTGCCAAACGAGTGACGGAAAAGCTCCAAAGGGGATTATTAAGGTTCCATACACCACGTGCCAACTGTCCTTTCTTCCCCGTGAACCTCCGTTAAAATGGAGGGACTTGCTGAGTCTTTTGCAGCCAATTTCACCGTTTCTTTTGAACCAAACGATACTGCAGCCCCTCATCCGAGGTACATTGCATGTTTATTTAAAGATGACTTTAATAAACGATCTTTTAGGCTGGTGTTCATACCGTTTGTTGATAAAAATAATTATAATCTGTGGATTGATCATCATGAAAGGTTGATGTATGATGTTTTAAGCCCAAGCTTTAAGATAATTCGCTGTTTTCTTCTTTTACCCCACCAACTGAGGGCTTTTCTCTCAAGATTCTTAAGGACAAATGTACCTGGGAGGCAGCCACGGTGCTCTTGAAATTGATTGATACACAACATGTTATGACAATCATTTCATTTGTGATTTGTTATTTCTTTGTAGGATGGTCCAATATAAAGTTAAGCCCAGTAATACTCCAGATCAGTATTTACGAAGACAAAGAGTGCTTGAGGAGCAGAAGAAGTAGAGAAACTATTCCACAGCTAAATTACTTTATATCAACGAAAGATAATTCAGACCTTCCAGTATGCAGAGGAGTTACACCGTATTTGTGACCTTGATTGCAGTTTTAAAGGTTTACAGTTGAGAGCGCAAGTCGCCTTTGTTTACTATAAATTCGAATATGTACAAACCATCATGCAATCATGTGACAAACCTGGTTACTAATTATTATCCAGTGCTTTGGAAAACAGTTGAAGAGAATGACTGCGGACGAATAGCAGCGACCATTATATAACCTTTTTCTTCTCAGCACTTCATGTGTCTTTTGTTTTCTTTTCGGCACTTTGTGTCGCTCTTTGGGTTATAGCCTGGGTAGCAGGTGCTTAGAAGTAGTGGGCACAAGAAAGAACGGGTGGGTGAGATGGAGCAGGGGAGAGGGAATGCCTACCCAGAAGGCCCATGAAAAATCGTTTCCCACCCCCGATCTAATTACCTGGCAGCCGCTGCATGATGTGTCAAAAAGTTTGACAAAAAACGACTGACCTCACACAAACAAAGCCTGCAGCCAAAAAGCATTGTACATTTTATCCTCAGTCTAAATATATCTGTTTAAAGATCAGCTGGATCATCTGATTATAGAGCGATGGAACAATTAAACATTACTGATGATTAACACACTGTTTTAAATTATTGTTTTTAACCACGAGCACAATAGGAAAGAACAAAGTCAAAAATGGTCATCTTTTAAAGAATACGTGCTTTGTATTATAAAAGTTGATTATTATTCTTTGACCTTACGTAGTCACAACTGTACAGACACCAACAATCACAGTATTCATGGAAAATGACCATTGCTTTTACTGCTCTAAGTGGCAGCCATTTTTGGAGCAGGCATATCTTACCAAGCGGATCTAAACTCCAGAACACATGCAAACTGTAGGGAGACATTTTCTGCTGCAGTAACAAGACATAAACAGGAGACCTCAGGTCGCCTCCGAAGGAATAATACAATAGTGAAAGGTTTTTCAAATTCATGCCCCTGGTAAGTGTTTCATTTCATCAATCCTGTCCAAGTTTTGATGGTATGCATTCCATCAACAACACAAGCCGCCAAGTTCTCCTGAGCAAAGAATATTTCTTCTGATCTTCATTGCAACAATTCGACAAATCTTTTTCTCTTGCCACTTCTGCTAATGCGTATCTGATGTCAATTTTTTCCTTCATGAATACTGTTTGAGCACTCCAACTTTTCTTTGAGATTATGGCCACATAGTCCCATTAAACTAGATTAAAGTGACCTCCAAGACCTCAACTTCGATTATACCATTTATTGGTTTCAGGAGCTGGTGGAGTAATATAAGACCTTCACTATCTTGTCCATGTACTATTGATGGACAGTTTTCTCGCCCTGAGCAGTTACTTTTTCCCTTGGTAGCCTCTCGACCAACTGGAAATATCCACACACAGAATGTGAGTTGAAACGATTTTAGTGGGCCTTCCAGGCAGGTACTCCCTCTTCCCTCAAGTGTCTCCCTCTCGTATGCGTGTTCTTTCTTGCACCCACTACTTCCAAGCTCCTGCTACGCAGGGTATTTGGGGGGATATTCATTCCCAGCGAGCTTTTACCAGGTTTGTAACATGATCACATGATGGTTTGACCAGTCAAGTTCATATTTGACTGCAGTAAACAAAGGCAGTATGGGCTATCAAATGTAAAATTAACTGCAGTGAAGGTCACAAATAACTGCTCTGCACCCTGTGTAGAAGCTGATAGTTTTGCCCCGTAGTGAGTTAGTCCCCTCCTAGTTACATGTAGTCCCATCAGAAGTTTTGTTTGCCCCATAGTGAATTAACCTCCTGCCAGTTACCGCGGTAAATTAAAGGTTTTTGAAAACCCAACCTGGTTAAAAGACTTTGAAAGGGTAAAATTTATGAGTGGCCAGACTAAATCAAGACTTTCACTGAGTCCTTTAAAGTCAGATGGTTTTCTTTTGTCTCTTGCTTGGGTCACTCATAATGCTTGTCATGCACTAGCTTTAGTTTTTCTGGACAGGCAACATGCAACAGCACAATGTTACCCTCTGTTTTTGTATTCTTGACCGACCTTGTATAATATTTAGATATAATTATGTTGTAGTTAATTTTTTTTATATCTCGGGTAATTTTTTATTTTTCTTTTGTTTCAACTTCATTAGCATACATTACAACCCAAAAACAAAAGAAAAATAAAAATTACCTGAGATAAAAAATTAACTACAACATATTATTGCACTATATCTGTGCTAAATATCAAAACACTTAATAACAGGTCCTTTAGGTCCTTTGAAAAATCCATCCATTTGTCACTCTCATATCTCACAGTTTGAGTGTTAATTACCCCTAAAGGCCAGAAAGTACAAGTTAATCACAAAATCATTTTAAGTTTTAAATCATCATGTCAATGCCCTGCATGTTTTCTTGACAAATTTGTCATTCAATCATTTTTTCTGTATAAACTGAAAATTATAATAATCTATAGATACTTTCTAGGCGTAGACAAGACTTTGTGAACTATGCAAGGAAACTTGCTGAAGGGTCTTTAGAAGTTGAAGATGTGGAGACAGAGGTATTGAAAGGGGACAGACAGCAACATTGTTGTTGCTTGAAATAATTATCTTTATGTTCTCACTGTTCATCAGTAGGATGCCTTAAATCTCTGCAATTCCACAACTGGTTTCAGCTCCGTTAAGTTACTTCTGTGTTGTTATTTTTTTCATTAACCTTATTTTTGTCATGTAACAAGAAGTTTGTTAACCTTTTTAAAAGGCTTTGAAATTCATTGCTTATTGACTACCAGCCCCATTCCTCATAATTATTGTTACTTACAGTTTACCAACAAACTTACCAGGAGGAACAAAGTTTACATCAGAAAGTTCAGGCATATAAATGTTATATCTAAAAACATAGATTACGGGGCTGTGTGTAAGTCTTGCTGTATTTTGTCATCCTTACATTAATGCCTTTTAATCAAATTCTTTTTAGGAGATGGAAACTGCAACAGATGAAAGTGACTGCAAAAAGAAAAGGTTCAACCCATATGCATATCAGGTTCTTTTATAGTTATATTTTTCACTGATCTTTATTTATTTTTTTTTTTGGTGCAATTTAAGTGTTTGGTGGAAACTAAAACTTGTAGTCAGTGACACAAGTTGCTCGGAAACTTGTTTGACAATTTGTAACCCAAACAAACATCTACATAATATTATATGTAAGGTCATTTAATTTTTATTGACATACCAATTCTGCCTGAATTAAAGAGTAAGAACTGAAAAATGTGGGAAACCTGGCATTTAATATGGGCTCCTCTTTATACACCATCAATAGAAGTCACCGAATTAGAAGAGAAATTATTAAATTTTTTAGAATTATATGTATGAATGAGCAGACTGGGACACAGGGAGAAGAAAAGAGAATCTATAATATTATTATAACATAACAAAAGTACATGTAAATTGTACACTCTGATTGGTCTATTACCCATGTACTATAACTATTTTCCCATGGGTGAATGGTGACAAAATCTAGTGCTTGCTCAAAGCTGTAAGCATCACTTTCTACGTGACTCTATTTTTTTACCCCTTATATAGTTCGCAAAGATTTTTGTCTCAATACTGAAAAAAATTTTACAAAGAATGTAAAATAATGTAAAAGGTTTTGTAATCGACATTGAGAGGGAAAACTACTTATTCAGCAAAACAATATTTTTTGAAAGAAAGAATTTGAATGAAGGATTTACACGCACCATAGCGCGAGTAGATGACAGAACTCATGTCATTCCTCTGCAATCTGTAAGCAAAATTAAAAGTTTTTCTCTTGGATTATGCTATAAACAAATGGTAAACATGTATTTACTATTGAGTTATAGTTGCACTTGGGAAGATTGCTAAACACTCAAGAAGCTAGAGTTGCACTTGGCTAACGCCTCAAGTGACTCTTATAAGTATGCTCTTTCACGATTAACAACCTCCTGCGTGCGACTATGACTCAGTGCACAGTGAGCCATTTTACCATTTGTTAATTAATGCCTAGCTAACTCTGTTGGTTTGTCTTTTTTTACAAACTCCATGCTTGCATTTTATTACCTAGTTCCTTTTTCTGCCTGCTCTGGTTAAGGTAGTCCAGTCAGAGTTATTTGGTTTATTATTTGTTTCATTTTAGTTGATGTTATCTGAGTGGCTGGTGGACATTCCTGAGGACTTACAGGAAGAATGGCTCATGGTAGTCTGTCCAGTTGGCAAGAGGAATCTCATTATAGCATCAAATGTAAGTCTCTCCTTCACCAACATTCCAGGTGCGGCTTACATTGTACTTGTCTCTATTCTTGCTAATTATTTTAGTTGGTGAAAGTATAATGTATGTCAAAACCATACAGTGGAATATTGATTTCTTGAATCCCTGGTTGTTTCGATAATTTAAACCAAACACTGTAATTTTTTCCTTATTTCCAAGGGGGTTAAAAAAATCAAGATTCAACTATACTTTTACTCTCTTTTAATTATCAGTCTAGAACTACGTCAGTAGCCAGCTTGCAGGTATAGCTTGATCATTCAGGGTCTTGACAACTCTTTTGTGAGCAACCTGTAATATTGAAATGTATTCACAGTTGAGAATACTTTTATAGTCTATTAATCAAAGCTGTACTGTACTGTGTAATTGTTGTGTTAATCAAACAGGGGTATACAGCTGCCTATACCAAGAGTGGTTACCGTGTCAATAAATTCTCTTCATTACTCCCAGGAGGAAGTCCCAAGACTCTCAAACCAGGAGGTACATGTACAACACAGTCCACTGGACTTTAACATAGCTCTCTTTACAATTATTTAGCACAAAGTAACTACAGGTATCTACAATCTAGCAGAGGTGTTGCTACACCCTCCCAAGTGAAATTCAACAAGTGTACATGTAGGACTAGTCATATACCCCATGCATTGCATCCTTGTTGCTCAAGTACTTGTTCAAACACATGTAGGTATACCTGTGAGCACAGAGACAGAGTGACACTGAGATTTTTGCCTTGAACGTTGTACCAGGGCTAGAAAACAAAAAACTGTTCTTAGATAATATCAGTCTATTTGTGTATGGATTAAACCTCAATGCCAATTGCAAGGAAGAGCAGAAGTGAGAGAAATGATCTAATTATCACTTTTCATTGTAATCTATTTCAAGTGAGTGTGACATTTGTATTGCATATCAGTATAATATTATATATATTGTAATTTTTTTAAATTACTAACAGTGATTGATTTTTGTGTTCAGACTACACAATTCTGGATTGTATCTTTAATGAACAGACATTTACTTTTTACGTATTGGATGTGATGTGTTGGAGAGGACATCCTGTTTATGACAGTGAGGTGAGTTGCACACTTGCCAGAATAAGTATTATAAACTGTATGATGACAACTTCTGTGTAAAGAATAATTAGTCTTTCAAGAGCATGTTCCTGTTTAAATGAGCTTTGAAAGGACAAAATCAGTGAACTTTTAAGGGTACATAAAACAGAACATAGGGAATTTGCTACAATAAACTGTCACTGCAATCTTATCAAAATGTTCAAACAGTTACATGTATTAATCATAACCGTACCAAAATTCTCAAATCTGATTGGCTATCAACCATCCTGATTTCAGCACTAATAGGACAGTGCAATAGGACAGTATCCCGTACGATACAGAAGACGTTAAAACAGCGCTGCTTTAGCGACTTATTAGTGCTGCAACGAGCGCTGCAGAAAGGTTGCACGAACGCTGTTTTCCGTTCGCTGCAGCAGTGCATTTTTGTGACTGCGTGAACGCTGCGGTAGCGACACTGAGAGCTGCAGGAGCGCTGCCGTAAAGATGCAAAAAAATAGCCACACGAGGCCATACGGTCGATAAACAGCTTTTATGCAGCGCTGTGCAGCGTTAGTGAAGCGCTGCCAAGAACAGTTGTACAAAAAAAAGAAATGCAGACTTCAACAATACAATAATCATGAGACATGGTAAAGGAGTTGACAAGAGGCCTTATAGTAGCGGAGTAAAAACCACAAGAAATACAAAATGCAACTGATACTTTATTAGTATTCACGCATTACATCGTTACAAAAGCAGGTGACATATAAAAATCTCGACAGTCTCGCTTTGTAAATATTCAGCAATCACGGTCACTCATCTAAATGTAAGAACATCCATTAACATGCCGACATTGAAGTTTATCTTTTTTAAAATAAAGAGAATAAGAGCGATTGTTCTACATAAAGTTTGCACGGACAGCAGCCAAATGATGTTTTGATTCGTTGCAACAGCCTAACATTGCTCACCTTGACGTTTTTGTCCATGATCCACGATCTGCCGTCACTGTTTTCATGAAAGAAATCAACCCAATTTTACCTTGGTCGTCGTTAAATTTACAATGGACTAAGGAACGTACATCATCGTGAACGTTTGAATCTTGTAAATACATGCGTACCCCAGCTCAGATTCTTGTATCTGTGTTGCTTGCTCTGGTTCGATTAAATCGGTACTTCGCGTAGAATTCACTGAACAGTGCCGTTGTTTACAAATACCTTTGAGCTGTTCCATCCAAAAACATCAACAGAACTTCCACCTCGAAACACTGAACTAGATGCTAAACACTTACAATGTATGAATGTTTGCTCCTTTCATTCAACGGTCGCAAATGTTTGTCCAGCGATGTAATGTGATCTGATGCAAAAGTGCCGACCAATTAGATTACAGCC